TTTTTTCTTCTTCTGAATTTTCAATTTTTAAGGTGGGGATTCGTAAACCAAGCGTAAACGTAATGCGTAATTATGGCATGTTGACCAAGGAAGCCTGTATGACAAGAAACAAACTGGTCTCCCCTAAATTTAGAATAACCAACAAGCTACAAGGAAATAAGGATTTTCTGTCCCGAGTAAACAGATGGTGTAAGTACCGACCCTTTGGCAGTGGACCTACCATGCGTACAGCATTCACTCACGAGGGACAGATAAGTCATAATTCCCAGTTTTGAGTAAGTTATTCTGTATATTACTCAGACATTTTAAGAGATAACATGAAGAAAAAACGTATGAAATGTGACCCCAACAGCTAAACTTTATGGTAGGCCGCCTATTGTTCAGATAAAATCATGTGATTAATTTGTGACATCATAAACAATGGATGATGTCACATCATACTTTTCTCAACCATGAAGCACTGATATATTATGGCTTCAGTTGACCAATCAGCATTGAGAGTCCCTAAAATGCACATGTGCAAATATCGGAAAGTCAATATCCACAATCATTCTAACCTTGTGGGTAAAATATAGAATTTCTATATTTGTCTCACTTCAGCGTATTCATGCAATCAAGCTAGACAGGTGTGGGCAACAGATTGTGGAGCCCGGTATGCGAATCTACAATCACTGTTATATCTTCACATTGATTGAGTATGTTCAAAAGTCAATAAATCTCAGCTAATCTTTTCTACACTTGAAAAGTAAGAGTCTAATCAATAAGTCAATACATGTATTTTCGTCTTAATAGAACATTAGAATTAGGTGAAATATCTGTTTATTTATATGACACTAATATTCTGACAGTGTTTATACAATTTGTTTGCAATCATATCGCAGCATAAGCTTCAACAATACAATCAGTATTCACAGACCCTGAATATAACATAACAACAGCTGCAAACCAACATATCCGTTAGCCCATACCCTTCCTGGTATTCCAGACCCGGGTAAGTAGGTCAAAAGGTACGGTAATGCAAGACCAATTAACATTTGACCTTCATTATCACGAATATAGAAAAAAACATAATCATTAATGATCATGACTAAAAAAAACCACCATATCAAAAATAAGTTGTTATAGATAAACAAGATAAATGCATACCATACTCACTTCTTAAAAATAATATTTCTTAAAATAATAATTAAAGAAAGACACTTTGGTTCTTTCCCTTTCCCATTTTTAAAAACATTAATCATGACAGTTATCAGGAACATTTAATCACAAGCCAATATATTTGTACTTGTCTGTCCACGATGGGGAAAGAAACCATTTTTTTTCACTTTGGCACCATGTAGCCTGGAGATTGAGGTAGAACAAGAGACACGTATATGATATGGGTTCCTATACTTATTATGTGTACTCGTTCCATAAGGTACATTGTCTACAAGTTTCAAAAGGCAAGACAAATTTAGTTTCTTGTGGACCATGGTTACCGATTGTTTTGGTCAAACATACTCAAAATGACAAAATGAAGAAATAAAAATGTAAACTGATTTTAATGTTAAATGGATTTGAGGTTAATTTTCTTAAAACACGGAAAACAACCTCTTTCAATAAAGTTAAAACTAAGAAAAGAAGTTCAAAATGAGAAATAAAACTTCAAACAAACAACATTTATACTCGGACCCCATGGTACCGCGGCATTCATCGTATCGCGGCATTTGTGATTTCCTGTAGTTCACGCGGGACACGCCTCTTAGCGGCTGTCTATTAATGCAAATCAGTAACCAGGAAGTGCTCACTTCGTAAACAATTTCAATTTCCTCGGAATGTTCCGTCTACTGTAAGTACGGAGTTATTAATCCGTTGATACATATTTCTGGCATCTGTTGTAATATTGCCTTACCCCCATCTATCAATGGCCAACGATATAACCCGCAGTTCCCCAAGTAAACTTTCTCTATCGACCAGGGTGCCGTTGTACAAAACAACCTTAGCGCTAAGGTTACCTTATATCCTTAAGTTTTAACCTTAGGCCTTTACTAAGGTTGACCCCCTGTTGCATGAAACTACCTTACGCTAAGGTAGCCTTAGTTAAGGTGAAAATTTTAAGGTTGGTCAGACCCAACCTTAGCCACGCTAAGGTTGATACTTCATTGAATTTCAACATGGCTACTTTATTGTTGATGTGTGAGGAAACTGAGAGAAGTTTGAGGAAACAGCGTGTTTTCCGAGATCGCACCATGCAGCTTGAGACACTGACAGACTTGGACCTGATATCGCGTTATCGACTCACTCGCGAAGCCATTTTCTGTCTCGTAGACAAAGTTCGTCCTTTGGTCGAAAGACCAACACAGTGTTCGTACGCAATGACAGTGGAATCTCAAGTTTTGTTTATGCTGAGATATTAAGGAAAAGGGGGATTTCTTTCTGAAATTGGAGATTTGCATGGTTTGGATAAAGAAAGAAAATGAGCCGAATAAAACATGGCTGCGACCCTTGACTTCATCGGCCAAGAGTGTCAGCTCACTTGATGTAAAGTTTGATTGCCGACACCATTTCTGTGCACTGGTAGACTGTGTCATGTTGAAGTAGCAATATTAGTCGTCTGCAGATGCGAGCAGGGGAGATATCTCTCAATCGTAACTACGGACTTAATTGAGTCTCCCACACTAAAGAGTTCAACCTTAGTTAAGGTTGCCGCTAAGTATCCTGTCCACGTTAAGGTTGTCCTAAGGTAGTTTTGTGCATCGGGCGTAATGTTTTGATAAGGTTACCTTAAGATTAACCTTAGTAACTAAGTTCAACCTTAGTAAAGGTTGTTTTGTACAACGGCACCCTGAACTAGATCATCTGCATATTCATGGCGACTAATGAGGTAAGGGAAGTTACGTAGTCCGCACATTTTTTCCCGCTCGATGCCATGAATCTGTTGGGAGATCATAAGGGCCATAATGCCAAACTTAGAAATACGTTCTTCACTAGTAACCAAAAGATAAATACATACTTTGGGCATACTAGGAGTGCTTTTTATATATTTATTGTTGACTTTTAACATTTTTCCATTTTGTGACAAATTATTGTCATCCAATTTTTTTTTAAACAATCTTAAAATATCATTTCTGATATTTTGATGTTGACTTATAAAAATATTTTTCTCTTACTTTTCGGTAAATATGCATTGAATACCTATTGCTGATAACACATTTAGAATTTTACTTGTGCTGTCTTTGCACTTGTCTGGACAAATCACTGATGTCTGGCATGATCATACCAAGTGGTTGGTAGAATTATGTCCTCTTTTTGTCCAATTCGGACCTCCATACACAACTTTTCTCTGTACCGCGATATGATGGAGTTCTCTCCCTTGTCAAACTGAGCGCGAGGCCCGGCTTTTACTCGGAGCTACTAATGTAAATAATGAACTTTTATCAGTAAAATATGCATAGTTTGATAACATGAATTATATCTGATACAGAGAACATGAATAAACATAAAGGTTAGTGAGTGCATTTTTTTCCGTTTAGCGTACATGACAAGTACCGCGATACCCCGAGGTTGCAGGCTAATAGCTTAAAATGGGAGGAAAGCCTGAAGTGATGCAGATCTCAGACATTTACCACTTTGGTGAAAGCCCCATCCATAGGTTTCTGGCATGCCCAAGGGATGTAACTCTGCACAGCGAATTGAAGCGCCTTAGACGACTGAGCAACCCGTGCCCCCCATGCGAATTGAACATGTATGAGAGCTACACAGTCCCTGAGTAGCCATCATGCGCATGTCAACTGACAATAATAATTCAGTCAAAATATATGCCAGTTGTCGCTGTTCCTGTAGCGAGAGACACTTCACACGTACATACGGGCATGCCCAAGGGAAGTAACCCCTTCCATATAAAATGTGCACCTCTAAACATTGTTCTACAACTCAATGAGGCAATGTATGTATACTGTATATATTTTCAACATGCAGCTAAGATATGGTAGGTGTATACAATGTATTATCAAAACCAAATTACAGCTTAGGAAAATATGCAATTTGAATATATAAGATGAAACCGAAATTAACTGTTTCAATTTTGGACAAATACAAACAGTTAAGAGAGATCCTGATTAAGTACTGTGTGAAAGGATGTGTGTAAATGATATAGATAAACTAATCCTTCATAACATTCACATAAACATGATAAGATCAATATCTGACCAATATCCGAGTACAATTCTATTTCATAGGCTCATGTAAAATGTCTAAGTACACAATTGATGATCATCTGAGTCTACATAATCAATTTGGCACTTTGGCCATCTTGTTCATAAAGAGGACAAAACACAAGACATTAGGAAACAATAATGCACTGCCATGGTTACTACTGATCAACTGAAACAAATGATTGTGTGTGGTGACCAAAAGTTGATGATGAAATCCAAAATGACTGACAACACTTGTGAGGGGTTGATGGTTGTGTTCCAAGAACAGGGACTGGTTTGATTCTATGGACCTTGGATCTATCGGAGTCTGCCAGTGTGTGGTGTATAATTTACAGCACACTTCTGCTTCAGCACTGGGTTTGAATCCCAGACTTGCCCTGACAATATTTCAAGGTTTGTCAGCACCATACCCATGCTCATGGGTTTCTCATGGTAAACCTCTAAGACCCGCATCCACTTCAGGCCTTCCATCCGTAAAAAACTGACACGCTGTGCTATAACTGACATACTGTTCAAAGCAGTGTTTACCTTCACATAAAGCTAAAAAAAGCAATGCTATTTAAAGTGGTGTTAACCTTCACTCACTCACTCACTCACACAACCAACCAAACACACTCACACAGAGCTAAAAAAAGCAATACTATTTAAAGTGTTGTTAACCTTCACTCACTCACTCACTCACACAACCCACCAAACTCACTCACACAAAGCTAAAAAAAGCAAAACAGTAAACTACGTTTATAATGAACACGCTTATAACGAACTGACGGATATAACAAACTTTCTTTATTGTCCCGACTATTTGTGATAGTTATGCTGTATATATGCTTATAACGAACTACGGTTATTACAAACTAAAATTAGTGGTCCCTTTGAGTTCGTTATAACCTTAGTTTACTGTACTATTTAAAGTTGTGTTAACCTTTACTCACGCAACCAACCAAACTCACTTACTCACACAAAACTAAAAAAAGCAATACTATTTAAAGTGGTGTTAATCTTCACTCACTTACTCACACAACCAACCAAACACACTCAAATAAAGCTAAAAAAGCAAAACTATTGAAAGTGGTGTTAACCTTCACTTACTCACTCACACAACCAACCAAACTCACTCACCCACCCACTCACTCACTCACATAAAGCTGAAAAAGGCAAGGAAATCTGCATATCGAACCCACATCATAATACCATAATACTATTGCGGTACCAAATCATTGTACCACTCCTCATGTCTGGCATAGGTTACTGGGAGACTATACCAACCAGGAACCCACTGGAGGATATACACTTTGATATGACCTATATCGGATCTATGGCTATTCATATTGATGGAAGTGTGTCCATCGATATACATATTGTATAATAGTATATGTGAGAGGATTTCCTATCCAACTGTGTATCATAGCACAAAGTAAGGCAACGGGTACCTCGGGGACTCGGGTTCGGGTGGGTACTGAATAGAATCCAGGTACCCACAGGACTACCCGGACCCATGGTTAGGCACGTGATATATTGTTCAATGACAAAAATTCACTATAACTCCATGGTTACACTACAAGTCACTAATGTTCGCATTTTTTTCTAACCAGGCATAAACTCATTCTGACTTTTATGTTTGAATAAAGATAATGTTTCAGTCAACTGACAATCGTTTTTTTCAAGTAATTATTTCCCTAGTTACGACTACTAATTTAAAGTACTCTATAAAACCTGTCTAAGACATTATAAAATATATATCAGTGCACATGGTATACATGTTAAAAAAATAAAGAATATATGGTTGAAAGACACTATTAAACTAGTCTCTTGTAAATGGCCATTTTCAATTGATAAATCAGATAAAAAACGGAGTGAAGAACGGGTATGATGACGAACCCAATGAGGCAGATCATTCCTATCGTCAACCCGGGCTGATTCCAGTCCAGGACTTTAGGATACATGACATGATTGTGATCTGGAATCCAGTAAAATAAACTGAAGAATACATATACCAGACCGTATGTTATTGGGTAGATGACGTGAAGTAATCGGATCGGAATTGCCGACACAAGATGCTCAACAACCACAATAACAGAATTCAGCATGTGAAGTTGTACGTTATCCATTGAACCAACTTTCGCTCCGGTCATCTCAGGAAACAGGACCGCAAAAAAAATAATCGTAACCATGACAGAAGAGCTTGATACAACATTAAACAGAATCCAGACAATTTTGAGGTACCATGGTAACCGATAGAGACGAATATCCACTTCTTCATCCGAGTCTGGGACGGCTTCGTAACCCGAGGAAACCATCCAGGGATCAGTGCTGATTTCTGGGAACATGTTCTGATGGCCTTCCGATGGCGGCCTTCTCATGAAGTGGGTGTCCTGGCGTCGGAGACAGAAGTAGTTAAAGAATGCTGCAACAAAGTTTGTGGTCATGTACAGTGCTAGCACAGTGTAGGTCCAAATGGTCAAGAAGGCTGCCATAGATAGACCATTCGGCAAGTCCATACTGCCTGACCCAGCAGTGAGGTAGATGAGCCATACGTCCACGTATACCGCCAACACAAGGCGGTACAGTAGATACAGAATTGGGGGAATACGCCACTGGAAGAAAAAAAGGTTTTGACAGTTTACAGCATGAAACCATGAAAGCAATTCACCTATCAGCAATATCCACTCCAAGGCATGTTCATAGGCTACATTATCACCCTGGGTGCCGTTGTTCAAAGCGATCTTAACTACAGGAATTGCGACAGGCGTAGCGGTAAGGTTGTTCTGTACAACAGCACCCTGGTCAATGGATCGTTGAGCATTCTTATTGCTTTCTCAGCTCCCTGGGGCATATACAACTAAAGTCTGTTCAGAGCTAGAAGGTTTAGAATTCACATTGCAATCTCTACCGGGTACCCATTAACGGCTGGGTGAACAGAGGCATACCTCAAACAAAGTCACTTCCCTAAGGGGACACATCGAATTTAAGTACAGACAATCACAAAGGTTCTTACCTGCCACATGAAAAACCTTCCTCGGTAAACATCGCCGAAGCCAAACCTCTTCAAGCGGAATTCTTCCCGTAAGGCTAGACAGCTTCTCCTTGGACAACTCATTCTGCAGGGCTCTGAAATGTCAAGTAGGACATGTTGATAGAGTGAGTGAGTGAGTTGGGTTTAACGCCGCTTTTAACAGTTTTCCAGTTATATCGCGGCGTGTCAGCTTAATGTGGGAGGAAAGCCCGAAGTGATGCAGGTCCCAGACGTTTACCACTTCGGTGAAACCCACGAGCACGGGTATGGTGCTGACAAACCTAGAAACATAATCAGGGCGAACCGGGATTCGAACCCACAATCATAGGTTTCTGGCGTGCCCAAGGGACGCAACTCTGCACAGCGAATCGCGGCGCCTTAGACAACTGGGCCACCCGTGCCCCCGACATGTTGATAGACAGCAGACAGGGCAATGTACATGTTTAAATACAGTGCCATGAACTATGCTCACCACCAAAATAAAAACGAACCACAGAAACATGGAGAAGTATTTAAGTTAAGAAGAGATGTTTCCAATGTGTACCAATTAATGACAAAACTAACAATCAGTCAAGTGCTACCACAGTGTCTTTATTCTTATCGTGACATGCTACACATGATTTCCAAACTTTACACGCTAATCCTACACGAGACAAATGGTGCATCTCGAGTCATGGCTCATGACCTCACATATTATGTGTGCATGAACATCGGTTCACACAACAAACTCGTATGTCCGTCTGTGCATTGAACCAATCTAATATCTCTTGAGTAATTCTTCACTTATTAATTTTAACCAACATGTATGGTATTCATGTTTCTTTTGGCAGTGAGTAATCTGGCAACCTGTGATTTAACTTTAGTTTTTTGTATATAGTGAACTTCAACATGTTCAAGGCGAAATAGGGGGGGCACAGGTGGCCCAGTCGTCTAAGGCGACATGATTCACTGTGCAAATTGCGTCCCTTGAGCACTCCAGGAACCTATGATTGTGGGTTCGAATCCCGGTTCGCCCAGATTATGTTTCTAGGTTTGTCAGCACCATACCCGTGCTCGTGGGTTTCAATGAAGTGGTTAACACCTGCATCACTTTGGGCTTTCCTCCCACATTAAGCTGACATGCCGTGATATAACTGGAATACTGTTAAAAGCAGTATTATACACAACTCACTCACTTGCTCAAGGTGAAATATCACTAAGTGATGTACTATTTCAGGCTAGTAGCATGTATGTTTACAAGCACAAATGTCTAGTTGGGTCACAAATTCATGTTTATCTTGTACATCTGGTCTCTGTTTGTTTGTTGGTTTGTGGTTTAATGCAGCACTCAGCAATATTCCAGCTATATGACGGCGGTCTGTAACTAATCGAGTCTGGACCAGACAATCCAGTGATTAACGCATTGGGATCGATGACAAGGATTTATAGTTAGTGTGTAGTTATCATGGACAACTCCATCCCTTCTAGTTAAAAACTTCATCCTCCTATATCATGTTGATGAAGGGCATCTCGTTTATGACAATGAATACTACTCAAACGAAGTTAAAGAACTCCAGTTTCTTTCATATTACGATAGAGATGGTCATATTAAAGATCAGGATTTCTTTTACTCCTTTTGGCATGTTTGGGTAGAATTCATTGTTAAACCTCTATATTCTAATGTTTCATAAAGCAAACTCAATGTGAGGGTGGTTGGTGGCTTGGTGGTTAAAGCGTTAACTCGTCACATCAAAGGAACGAATTCTATTCCCGACATGAGTACAATGTGTGAATTTTGGTTTCCAAAGCTGTGACCACCGTGATGTTGCTGGAGTATTGCGAAAAGCAGCATTAAACCATACACCCTCTCTCAGCAGCATCTGTTTGGAATTCCCTACCTGTAAACAGTATTGCTAAACATGACTTCATCTCTAAGGTCAGACAGAAACGTCACAAAATGACAATGAAACGCTGCAGTCAGATATTGACTAATAATTATATTTATAAGGAGCCAAAACAGGAATAGGTTTAGAAAAACAAATATCATCTACCTATCTAAATCAAAATTTAATATGATTAAAAACATCCTGTATCAATGCATTTTATATGACTCATTGCAATATCTCATGGCTACTCATAAGTTAGACGTTACCTTTTTTATGATAGTTTCTGGAATGTTCTCCAAGTGGACTTTACCCCACCTCCATTCTAAATTGGTTAGAAAAGAACCCATTTGTTTGAACGAAGTCCCTTGACCTAATCTTGGTCGTATGAATACTGATAATGCATAATCCAAAACAGGAAGTGATGTAAAGCACATATTCCACATATATAACACTACAAAATAGCCATACTACGATAATATAGAGTTGCCCACCATTGAATCGCCAATGACAGGTACTTTGTTAACCAAACTCGGTATCAAAACCAATCCTAATTGATGTATCATAAAAATATGAAGAAATATGACATATTTAGTAGGCTAGTAAGCGTGCGCCATTACGATCCAATAACTACCTTGATAATATATATAGGGTTCTTTGTTAGGGATCTTTGTTGTGGGATAGTTGTATCAGTACTACTGGAGGGCTCCAAGACTACTGGGGGGCACAGGTGGCCCAGTCGTCTAAGGCGCCGCGAGTTGCGTCCCTTGGGCATGCCAGAAACCTATGATTGTGGGTTCGAATCCCGGTTCGCCCCATTTATGTTTCTAGGTTTGTCAGCACCATACCTGTGCTTGTGTGTTTCAACGAAGTGGTAAACGTCTTAGACCTGCATCACTTCGGGCTTTCCTCCCACATTAAGCTGACACGCCGTGATATAACATGAATAATGTTAAAGGCGGCGTTAAACCCAACTCACTCACTCCAAGCCTGACACTGTGACAGTGACTCAGTATATTCATACTGCTTGTCATGCTCTTTATCAGGCCTAGACTAGAGCAGTCTCAATTTCATTATAATGAATTGAATTAAAACGTGTGACATGAAATACAGTCTGTCCACAGAGGTAACTCACACATTCAGAACACACCAGTGGCATGGAACAAAATACACATGGGAATATTAATGTTTTTGTAACTAATTCATTTTGGAAAAAGGAGCATCACCAGCCAGATGATGCGGAGAAACATCTTCAACATATTCAAACTCTCTGTTGTCCTTCACACCAGTGAAGGGTTGACAAGCTAAGGGACCAGTAAACAAAGGAGAAAGGTGGGCGGAAGGCCTGGGAGATGGAGAATCCCATTTCATGGGTCTGCTAAACAGTTTTCTTCACCACTGCTTACCTTATACAAAGAAGTTATTTAAGCTGCTGGTATTCTGATGATTGACAAGCTTCAGCACAGAATTAACGAACACTGTTGAATTAAACAAGAATGATCTATGACAGCATTTTTAAGCATGCCTAATAATATAAAGGCGTGTGGTATCCGATTGTTGTGCAAACAGATGTAGTGCGAAGCAACATATCCAAGGAAGATGATAACACAATGATGCATCCACGCCTACCGTCCTGGTGATAGTCGCGTGTGGGAGTGACAAGGCAGAGATAGTTTGTCTCCCATATCATTAGTATGACAAGTACCAGCAAAGATAAACCTTCACAGTACACCATATTGGCCCCACTGTCATGAGAATGTTGAAATACCAGGATACGATGGTGGGAGGAGAGAAAGTGTTTACATCACGGCCGGTAGATACGATAGGAGTCTGTGTTTATAGCCATGACTTCTGGCTGGAGATTTGTAGAATTAGATGGTCATAGTTTTATTCACATAAATTAATTTGATCATAAATAATATTAAACTAAGGCTTCAACAAATGGTTGATGTGTTATAGTTTGGGCTGTTCACTTGTCAAATGATATCATCATGGCCATATTGGATAGACTAGAAAACTACGCATTCAGCAGGTACAGGGAGTATCATCTTGGGTTTATGGATATGCTAGAAAGTAGGGCTGGGATGAGTCCAAATTTAGGACCCTACCCGAGTACCCGCTGTAGGACTCAATAGGTATAAGTACAAACTGTACGATTTATTCAAACATAAAAAAGTCAGAAGGAATGGGCTTAGTAGTCAGAACAAACTGCAAAATTAGTGACTTGTAGTTTAAAGATGGAGTTCTAGATAATTTTTGTCATATATCACGTGACTAACCATGGACCGGGTAGTCCTGTGGGTGCCAGGGTCCTCCTCCGTACCCACTTGACCCGAGTACCCAAGTTACCCATCACAGTCCCACTAGAAAGATACAAATTCATTGTTGGTGTAAAGTGCATTGTGTCCATAGCTCATGTGGTATACCGTATTCGACATTATAAGTGCCCCGCTCTAATAAGTGCCCACGGTGATATTTGTTAATATATTGGCCAGTGAGCAATTCCAATTAGCACCCTTTCGAATTGATCAATGTACACAAGACTTAAATTTATTCGTGTATAATATGCGTGTTATATGCATCCTTAATAATGGGAAATTAAATTCTGAAACAATATATCTGCCGTATATAAACATTTCAGGCTGTCAGCATAAACCACGAAATTTATGATGTTTCAACTCTGTTGTTTTTCACCAAAATAATATTCTAATAAGCGCCCCATATTTCTAATTTTGAGAGCGCCCTGGGCGCTTATTATGTTGAATACGGTAAGTCAGTTAGCTCCCCACCTCTGCTGGTAATAACGAGATAGTGATCGAGGTGAGCACAAGCCATGCTAACCTACTCTGTATTCCCACTGACATGCTTAATGATTACAGTTGGAAAGTATCCCTGCTGTGACATCAAGTTCAGATTTGTGAATGTGTGGATGATAACACGACGAGGTTGATCTGGATCTTAATTGGATCTTATTCCTTCATTTCATAGCTTACTTTGATATTTACATCTGTCTAGCATGTCTGTAGACCTACACATTCAGTAGCATCATGAAAATGTACAAGCGTGTCCTAATAATCTCAATGAAATCTGTTAATATAGTAATATCTCTTTTCAGACAATTCTCGATTCAGAGAGATCATGTATCTCACATGTCTTCAATTGTAATAAAAAAAACATTAAATAGGGAAAACATGTTCACTATCTATTATGTCTAGCCTATACTATGCATACTTTAAACTCATTGACTGAGCTTTTTATTCTCTCTATATTCTTGTTAAAATTTTAAACAAAAGAAGAGAAAATGGAAGGATTCTGAAAGAGAAAACGAAAGAATTCTGAACACAAACATGACATTTATAGTTTCTTAGTACAGACAACAAAGAGTTGCCTCCCCTTTCTTACATAATTACAAGCTCCTTCCCAGCGTGCGATACGTTTGTTTCCCTCCCAGCATCACGGCTGCTATCAGTGTACAAGCAGCCATTACAGTTCTTGAATATTTTCTCTCTAATTCCAAATGTGTGTATATGTATTACATTTGTGTGTACATATGTCTTTGGGAATGCTATTACAGTAAATTGGGAAAACTAACTTACAATTTCCGAAATGAATTTGGTTTGTTTGTTTATTCAGAATGGTTGGAAACCGCAGATTATAAGTAGGAAATCATGCACATTCACCCAGGCATTCTCACTAAATTATTGACTTGATAGTTGACATGAAATTGACAAACAAACCAATTTACCTGTGAGAAGAGATTTTGGTTTCACAAGAGACGTAACTTGTTTGTAAATATAATGGCTTAAAAAAGGTCAGTTGTGAGTTCAACGCCATACATATGGTTGTAGGCCCCCTAGCTCTGTGGGGAGCTGTTATATTACCCTTTTACACTGCTGTTTTATGTAAAACATCTGTAATATTCACACAAAAAACAGACTGCTGTGTCATGTTTGGTCTCAGTGGAGGGGGGGCGGTCGGGTAGCCTTGTGGTTAAAGCGTTTGCTCACCACGCCGAAGGCCCGGGTTCGATTCCCGACATGGGTACAATGTGTGAAGCCCATTTCTGGTGTCCCCCGCCGTGATATTGCTGGAATATTGCTAAAAGCGGAGTTAAACCATACTCACTCACTCAGTGGAGGGCGCTTAATTGAAGATTATGCTTATAAATTGGGGCATGAGTTAGTCAGGGAAGTTATTAGAGAAGGACGTTTAGTCGGTCGAATATGGTATGTGTGCTTTATAATTGATTATGTTTCTGTTTAATGCAGGGTAATTGGATTGACATACTACAATATCATAAAATGTGAGCTAGAACATGAAGCGGTGTTTGAAAGATTTCAATCAAACTTTCACATTATTTTCTCACTATACAGTAGCATTCGACAACCCATGGACGTATATACAATTCTATATACGTCTTTGGGCAACCAGAACCGTGTGACAAACTCATAAACCAGCGAATAACAACAGCTTTTTGGCGATAATTTAGTTGGGAGGCAAATATGTTTCAACAATTGGTACTGCGATAGGTTTGCAACAATGGGTTTACTAGTCGACGAGAGAGACGCAACATCTGAACGTTGATCTAGACGCCGAGCGTACACGATAATGTTCTGACCTCGTGCTGAGGAATCACCCTGGGGACAGTTCCTAAACATGCTAGATCTACCTCGCGTTGTCAAACAAAGACAGAGCGACATTTCGCATTTAATTTACAACACAAGTGTACAACCACGGTATGACATGTTAACCTAATCAAGCAATGAACATCATTTCAAAGCTAAAGAATCTTACCCTGATTCCGTAATCTTCTTATCGGTAAGTGAAACTACAGCACATGACCAGCTGATATGACAGTCCCCTTTCCGTGTTTACATGGAGGGTTATGGGTCAAGAGGTCAAGGTTAAAAACTATTTCTTGTAAGATATTTTTCATCGATAAACTATATCTACATAGTGTGGATACCTTGGGGTGTCTATTCAGTCGTGAATCGAAATTTAATTGGCTAAATATATTAATCTCACCAACTCTCGCGGAGTTGATAAACGCGAGACTTCAAGAAACAATATGGCGGCTCCATAGCGACGGGGTACGCGAAGTGACAAAATGAATGGGACTTTGGTGATATGCGTGATGAATAGGACAGCGGCACAAAAGATACTATGAATGATCTTTGAACTTGATTACAACTGGCACAATGAAATGGGGAAAAGGAAACAGCACACTGACCCGTGTCATACATTTGTTCCAAAGATCAGTGAGACTAGCAAGAAACTCGCACTGCGAAGGCTAGAGAACTTGGATACGAAAGGCATACCCCATTTTATGCTGGAAACCAGAAGCAAAGTCAAATTGCATGAGCCACTTGAACCTATTCCGCCAATATCACCAAATTACAGTTATCCAACTGTCAAAGAAGGATGGGTTAAAGGTTTTCACAAATCAAAAGTAAATGATTGTGCTATAAGCCCAGACACTGACGGAATCGTTTCTCCACCAGTCATGAGCAAAAATGCTGTACTTCCACCCAGAAGGGTCGACTTGGATGAGAATATTTTCACTTTTCGTCCAAAAGTCAGTTCAGCTAGTGTAAGAATAGCTGAAAACCTCGGTTCAGATTTCATGTCTAGGCAACAACAGCATTTGGATCGGCAAAAGAAACTTGTAAGTTATTGATATTAGATCTATGTTAGATCATGTGTTGTAATTTTATAGGGTTCATGATTTTATCAACAATCTAACAACATGCCATGTTGTAGCTTCTACTAATCATGTAAATTTTCTTCATTTTTAATGTTGAAAAGAAGACATTCTTGCGATTTGTTTAGAATATTCTCAGACTGGTTTTAAAACAAATATTGATATATTGCTTGTTATTTTTACTGTCTATGGCTTAGATATATTTTAACATACTATTATCAGTGAACGCTGATGTGACTTTTAATATTAACTCCCTCGCTCGCAGTGGAATTATTTAAGTTTTTATGTATCTTCTTCAGAAATTTTATCTTTACCATGATTACAATAATGAACACAAATACATTTTAAATTTAGTGTTAGAAATCTGTTCGTCCTTTATTAAACCAACATTTTAAGTCAATGGTTACATACATATGGGGTTAGTCAAATTACCACGATATGTGACAATTTTCCATAAACTGGTACATCGTGAATCCAAACACTTCTGAAGGATATCATGGAATTATTACCATGGTTAGAAATTACTCTTTATTTTCACTGTTCCGCATAAATTATTTTCTAGTACCATAATTCAAGCAATTGTCAATAAAATCATGAACATGATGAATAGTGAGCATATCAGTGTTTTAGTAATTACTGATCAATTTCATTACTGCTGTCATATTGTTCAACATTTAATTCAATATAGGCCTGGGGAGTTTAATTCTTGATGAAATAGTCTGGAACCGATTGGCAAATCACATCATTACAAGAAACACTGACCAGACTATCGTTCTTGGTACCATAAAACAAACCTTTGTTGTCAGAGAATGAATACTTTAATTGCCATCATTTGACATATACTGAAGTCATGGTTGTTGTCATTAGAAAGTCGTCAATTCGTTGCTTCAGTGGTGTTATTTCTATTGATTATGCAGTGACTCTGTTCCATTTCGCAAAAGTGCAACAAGAGTAACCAGTCTCAGTGACAGAAACAAACTGTTTCGGTCCACTAGTCCTTATAATGATAACATATAGCAATATCCCTAAAAATGGCAAATTTCTACTAGTCCATACGATACCTTGAATATTGGGCAGTTTGGCTAGGACTAGTGGCAATTTCTAACGCTGAGTCTGAGAGTTATCTCTGTAGTACAATAATGGTTGCAGATTAATTTCTTTGCGCTAAACAATCTCGAAGTGATGATGTGGGACATTGTTTACTGCTTCACCGATAATTAACGGGAGCAAAGGTAAAACACATATTGATGTGATTGCTATGTCATACAAGAAAATGACAAACAATATTGATAACAGGGTTTTAAAAATGCTTACTGTACAGGAAATACTATTTGTAATTTTTTAAGTGACCAGGGTGCTTATTATCACTGATTATGGCGAACATGGTCCGTGTGATGCAGAACCATTGCTCTCAAAAATGTCAAAGAGAGATAAGCAAAATGTAAGACCCAAATTTTGAATCGCTTGACCGGTTATGAAACAAACATCAACATATCATTGTTGAAAATTCATAACTTATATAGAAAAACCTGTGATGAATGTATTAACATGGTTATCAATGTTAATAAATAGGAAAAAGAAATTGAAGAAATATGGCCACTTCCTTTTGTAAAGCCATGAACAGCAAACATGCAGATTTTGGTTTGGGGACACGTCTCATCCCTAACATGCCTAAACATATGTGTTAAATGAAAGATGTTGGTTTATCAGAGCAGAAAAAAATTATGTACAGATTTGACTGTTGTATGTTCTGAAATGTGGACTAAGGCATTAGTATATCATAGTCATTATGGTTATTTTGTTCCATACAAAATAATATCAGGCAATAGCGATCAGCTGTACCAAAGTGCTACACTTAGTAATTTATTTCAAATGTATATAATAAAGCTGCAACTAAAATAACATGATACTGGAATAAATTATTCCTGATAAAATAATTGATTGCTACTTCCGGCTTAGTTTATGAGAAAATACACACTGTAAGCTTAATCTCTCCATATAAAACAATGCCTATCAGAACAGGAAATACAATTCAATCGGTGAATCATCATCATGATCATATCTCCTGTTTTTTTCCTCAAATTTCAAATTTGACCAAGTTTAATTGTTGTGATCTATTCGTTCCCCTGAATTCGTTGAAGGGATAAGATGTAATTTTTTTCTGCAGAAGACAAACACGTTTTTATTGCAAATGTAGGGATTGTGCATGCACTGGTGACGTGCTTCATTCCGATTCCCTTTATAGACGGGGTATATAAATTAGCAGCGATTTGGAAGGCTTGTACAGGAGGGTCGCCCTATACGTTGGGTCGCTTTATAGACAGGGATATACGGTATACTTAAGATATGGTTGAAGAAAGTAACATGACCCTAATGATAAAAATAATAATTTTGTGGATGAATTACTTATTTATTGTGCCAAGACCTTGCATCTGATGCCGGTAATCAATGACTGCCAACAAGGTGAACAATGGTGAAGGGAGCAGATCTTTGACTTTTCTTATTCTGCAGGGCCAATATTAGTGTACATGCTGTACATGGTGTATGCACGCTATAAATTTATATCTTGGACAAATACGAAAATGAACATAATGACAGTTCCCTTGCATGCATCAATAACTGTACTTAATTTTGTTTTATTATTTTCACAAATAAAACTTGTAGAGACATTTTTGTGCAACATGCAGAAATCCATGGTCCACTGACAGGCCATCAAACATACGATTGACCCCTCTCGGGTGGTCACTTGTACGCAAGACGGGAGAGCCGTCTCGCGTACACGTTACGTCCACTACTGATGCATTGAAAGTAATATCATGTTGTATACTGTTAAACATAAACAACAATACAAAATATATCATATTTCGCAGAATAAGCAGACAGGGTGCATAGAAAATTGACAAGGGGGCACTTATTAAAACCATACACAAGTTCAATTTGTTGCCAGAGATCGAGCAGAAAAGAACAAAATTAGTTCAAACGTCGAAAGAGTTTCGATAATAGTTACTGTGGCAGTTGCTTACCCTTTCTCAACACTGCAGTGTTTACTATGAAATTATTCGTGATAAGCAAAAGAATACAGATGGTCATGTCAATTTTATGGTTCAGCATCAGGATATTGGTGTTAGGAGGTACTCATTGAAGCAGGGAGCTAAATACCTTATGCAAACCTATTTCATTTGCTGGAAGTCCTTTGTTGTATAACCATGCCTTTGGGAATGAGAGACATGTAGAAGGTGGGCTTATCATGCCCTGCGTTGTTGCTATGGTTATAAGAGAAACCTGAATATAAAGAACTCCAATGGACCATGAGCATGGTGAGTATCTGCTTGTTATGTATAACCGTAGTACTTTACCTGTGAAACTAGAGAATATGTCGGCCATCTTGGACTGAAATGAGAATTGTAAATGTAAACGAAAATATCGCAAATGTTTTAATTCTTTTTCGTTAATTTAAAAAAAAAATTCATTCCTTAGTGATAACATTAATTTTGGCAACAGATCACTGTTGTTGTCAGAGAAATAATACATATAGTATATATCATAAATGACATGACTCGTAAAAAGTCACAGATGTTTTTTTTTGTATTGTATTTCAATACTTGTTTTTATTCCTTGGCGGGGGATATAGAAACGGGCTCCGTCCGTATGTCCGTACGTCCGTCCATCACTTTTCATTTCCTGAGCATAACTCAGAAACCGTTCAATATTTTTTCATGAAACTTTGCAGGTCTGTCAAGTACATGCTGAACTGGTGTCTTTTGCTATTTAGAAATTTTAGAAATTTTTATTTTTTACGTTTCCATGGCAACAAGATGGACTTAGGTTCCAAACTCTTCTTTTTTTTACAATTTCTATGACAAGTTCCACCTCGGTTAAAAAAGGTTAGGGTTTGTTTAGATTTAATTATGTCATAAATTCTGCAACAGGGGCGGGGGATATAGCCAGGTTAGTGGCAAACTCTTGTTCTTGATTGAAATAGCAAGGCAATGAGAAGCCTTCATGTCCCGGTTAGTTGATATGATATGGTGACTCTCAAACTGTTTCATATGTATTTGATAATTTTAAACACATAGCAAAAGCAACAATTAAAATAAGAAGTAATAGAATAATGTTATTCCTAGTACAAGCACAATTTTCAGGTTAATTGGTTCCGATCATTGGGTTGGGTATGTTTCAATTGAATCGTCATTAGCATGATTAAGGAGGGCTGGACTGCCTGTTCAAGTGACCAAGTCCTAAAGTGAACATTGCCTCTGTTTTGCACTGCTGACTGGGTTAATTCGCTGCTAATCATGCTTATTGAGAGAAGTACTGGTAATTGCTGGTGACACTGAGCGACATTGATTGAGTTTTTGTAGTTCACTATACACATAATTAATTATTGACATTTGGGTCTGTGGGGGATTGTTATTGTTTTGCAATATCCATTAGTTCGCTGTACAGACTTTGCTATACACATGCACTCAAGACTTTTTGAATAGTTTGTTATGTCCATTTGTTTGCTATGTATTTGTTTGGTAAAAACATGTTCTACTGTATATATATGTCAGATTTGACATGATAACTAGTGGTCTTCTTTAGTTTGGGTATGGCAATCCACACAGACTGTGACTTTACTTAGCCACTGGTCCAAAGCCAGAGTCTTCTAAAAGTTCTTTGGGTTAAAGTGATATCAGCTGATAGTAATCCATATGTAACATGCATCACTTCAAGCATACATAATGTTTGGAGTCATGCATTTTACAAGCGTATTATTAAATCATCATCATCATCATCATCATCATCATCATCATCATTGTTATCATTATTGTTATTATCATTATCATCATTTGATTATTATTAATATTGTTGTTATTTTAAATGTTATCAAACAGTGATTGAAACACTTGTTTCATGTTTTTTTAGGCAGCAGTTGTCCAGATATTTATAATTAAATATGTGGAACTAGTAAGGCATGATAAAGGCATATATAAACAATTCAATCAGTTCTACAGTGATAACATTGTCACCTACACCAAAGTGCTGTAGAAAGTGAAGAAACAATATGCCTGCTTTCTTATAGCAGTGCTTTATACAGGAAGCTTTCATTGAACGCCAGAATAAGGCTTATGATATTGCTAATCGCTGTTCAATCTACCGGCCATAATCCCTTTGTTGTGTGCAAGTGTAAGACATGGCCTGACAGCCAACATAAAGTAGCTTCCAGGGGTCTGAGTGACGGTTGACCGCCACCCAGCCAGACAACTCTGTCATATTGGATTCCAGAGCTTTGTCACCAGGGGAAATTGTATATGCTAAATATGGCCCCAGATCATACAGATTCCACCTTTCACAGCAACACTGAAGCCTCAGAATACATATTTGCCAGGCTTGTAGATGTCACGTGTTGATTACAATAGTGTCCACTGATTCTGGTAGTCTAGTTTGGGTTCACTGAGCCCAAATCTTCTAGCTTGGACTGAAGAGCGTTGTCGTGGTTTGATATGGTTAGTTGAACCAAGTCTACAGAAATCAAAGTTATTGGTGGTCATACTTGTTGAAAAAGCCCACACTTTATGATATTGACATGGTTTGGTATAAATCTTTTTTTTCAACAGATTATCCAAGGTAGGTTAGATAAAAATAAATTGATTACTTAATATACACATGGCATTTTTCAAGTTGCGTGGGTCAGTCAGGGAACAAACAAAATGAATCACCAAATATTGTCCACATCCCAACTTAGACTAATGTCATTTCATGTCATTAACACCTTAGGATACCAGTATATAAAATGCACATGGACTTGGTGCAAAAGTATCCTAATTTAACAAGTGTGCAATATGCAGTTTAACCATTGAAAAATTTGATAATAATTACAGCTTGTCGACAGAATTTTTGCCATTGCCAATATACATGTTAACACATTTCTGCTTCATAATTGCCATTTCTACAGGGTTTCAGATGTGTTCATTTTCTAGGACACTGATTGATTATGATCCAAAATGGCCTGAATATTTTGTTCAAACTTGGTAATGATATAGAGAATGTCGAATGATATAGAGGAATGATATAGAGGAATGACATAGAGGAATTGCATAGAGGAATGACATAGAGGAATCATAAGCTGAGGAAATCTTTGATAGGTCCTAATGCCATTTGTCGCAAGCAAATTCACTGCGTCTACCAAGCCTCGGCATCCTGCTGAGACATTTTGTCAATATGGCTTATGATAAAGTCTTTACCCCCATGATCACCAGAACAGATTTCTATCCCTAATGACAATCACCACTTTCCTCAGTCTCGTTTGAGTGACTGTCCAGCTTAGGGAACCAGGAATGTCCCAGTTGTTCCCGGTCAGTGATAACTCAATCTCCTCACAGATATACCTGCTTTGACTGAAGGCTACAGATACCCTTGTTTATTGTCTCCGGGAACTTGATGGAACTGTTCTGGGGGAGAGATTGTCCTATCTTGTTTATTAGGCTCTGAGGGGGTCAAGTCTTTGTCCTGTAAGGCACCCCCCGACTCAGGTTTGGATTTAGGTTTTCCATGAATACAGAGCGAGATATGAATATTTTCTTGCATATACCATATTCGCTCTAATAAGCTCCCCAACAATATTGGCTAATATATTGGCATGTGAACAATCCCAATTAGCACCCCTTCCAATTGATCAATGTACACAAGACTTAAATTTATTCGTGTATAATACGCACTTGTGTGTTATATGCACACTTAATTATGGGCAATTAATTTCTGAAAAAATATATCTGTTGTATATCAACATTTCAGGCTGCCAGCATAAACCACGAAATTAACAATCTTTCAACTCTTGGTTTTTTTTCACCAAAATAATATTCTGATAAGAGCCCCCTATATTTAATTTTGAGAGCGCCCTGGTCGCTTATTATGTAGAATACGGCATACCAACTTGGATGCTTGTCTAATAAAGCAGTCAGTCAAAGGTAGTTCATATAACCAGTGGAGACAAGGGTACAAGGTAAAGAATCACCTTTGATATTCCAGAGGGTGGATGGGTAGACTTACAGTGGTCTATTAAATATTTTATTACACAATACATTTCTCTCCATTATTTTTTGTTTGTTTTCCTGATGATTTAAATGTGGAATAGAGCTGGCTAGACTTGCCTTTTTATGATCTAGATTGGTTTTGTTTTTCGAAAATTACATATATTCCACAGAAAAGTGTCTGGCTGCCATTAGGACCCACATACTTAGAAGCTGCAGGGGGTTGAGAGGGTAGGGGTGATGGATAGGTATCCAGAATTCTAAGAATACAAGAATCACTGATCAGACAATGTTAAGTATTGTTTTATTGTAAAATTTTAAAAAAACCTGTTTCAATGTGACCATCTCTTAACCATAGGGGTGGTGGCGTAGCCCAGTGGTTAAAGCGTTTGCTCATCATGTCTAATGCTTGGTTCGATTCCCTACATGGGTACAATGTGTGAAGCCTATTTCTGGTGTCCCCAGCCGTGATATTGATGGAATTGTGCTAAAAGTGGCGTAAAACAATACTCACTTGCTCACTCACCAGGAGCTCACCAACTTTAATAGATTAATTTCAATTGTCAAGCATTGTGCTTTGCTGCATGATTTAAGTACCATACATCTGTTATCACCGGAACCCAGCTCCATGACATCCCACTGATACTTCCTGTGTCGTGTTACAACTGGCTCATAAACTGTACAACAGGCACTATGTGATCATTATGTACCAATAAATACTAGTAATAGTGGTATATCACAGATGTCTATAAATCTAATCAGCTAATAGACCCCCTCCGTAGTCTAGTGGTAGAGCGTCCGCCCGGAGAGAGGAAGGCCCGGGGTTTGATCCCCGGCTGTGTCATACCAAAAGACGTTAAAAGATGGTACTTGTTGTTACCCTGTCTGGCGCTCGGCATTAAGGGCCTAAAACAAGGACTGGTCGGCTCGGAGTCAGTATACTGTGTCTGAGTGGGGTATTCATGTTAAACTGCGGCATGGTGTCTCAGTGGGCTAGCACTATAAATCGGCATAAGTCCGGTCTAGTACAAGCAGCCACACACACACACACACATATGCATGCGCATCGCTATTTAAATACAGTAAAGTATGGTTATAACAAACTCAAAGGGACTACTAATTTTAGTTCGTTATACATCTTAAAACCGTAGTTTGTTATAAGCATATATACAATATAACAACAGCAAATAGTCGGGACCAAAAAAGTAAGTTCGTTTTATCTGTCAGTTCGTTATAAGCGTGTTCGTTATAACCGTAGTTTACTGTACAATAATCTTTGACGCGACGTTAAACCCCATTTCACCTCACCTATAAATCTAATACGTTTATAACGCTTAATGTACTCTTTATTCACACAGTCTGTCTAAAGTCATTGATAACCAGCCAGCAGTGTGGCAATAATCCAAGTTCCAAGTTTTACTACATTCCCTGTGATGTTCTCGTGTTTCATGTACACAAAGTATAATAGTGGTGTTTTGTACTAGCCATAGCTGGGGGAACTCACATAGCATTGACTAGAACACTGGATATTTTAGATCAAAGTGAACGTTGATAAAGGCTGTTGTGACTTACGTGACAGCTGATAAGGCTGATTTGTTGCCACAGCTGAAGTACCAATAATCGGAACTTAGCCATGTATGTGTATGATTTGATGGCCTGATAACCTATATTTACAACTGTTACTGTTAGTCATGTATGAGTTTACCTGTGTTGTCTTTGACAAAGATTTACTCTTAAGTGAGTGAGTAAGTATGGTTTTACGCTGCTTTTAGCAGTGTTCCAACAATATGGCGTGGGACACCAGAAATGGGCTTCGCCCGTTGTACCCATGTGGGGAATCGAACCCGGGTCTTCGGGTTCCCCATCACTTCTATTTACTTTTGAGCAGGAACCTACTTTCTTTCTGGATGTCCGATTATCATGGTGGGCTGGACTGTTTGTTGTTTAACACCGCACTCAGCAATATTCCAGCTATATGACGGCGCCGATTATTACTGTAATAAACATTTTATTTACATGCAGGGTTAGAAACTAGCAGTTTTAGTCCACTAGTCCTTATAATGATAACATATAGCAAAACCCTTAAAATGGGCCAATTTCTACTAGTCCTTAGGATACCTTTACTATTGGGCAGTTTTGTAAGGACTGTAGGACTAGTGCTAATTTCTAACGCTGACATGATGGTAACTTTATGAGAGCTGTCAGGACAAATCATTTGGTCAAGTCTACCCTGATTATCCAAAATCCAGTACTTTTTTACTACTTTCAAACATAGGCAAGAAATGTAAGGTTTTTATTACTGGGCTTTCTATGTAATTGCAAAAGACATAACACTTGTTTAATCAGAACTCTAACTAAAGAATTTTTTCTTTCTATTTTCCTGTCATGGTAGAACATGTAGAATGGAGACTAGCCAACTGTGTTATATATTTTGAGATATGTTATTGTAGATGGAAGTGAAAATCATTAACAGGTATCAGACAATGCAACTATGATAACATACTTCAAAATGTAAAACAATAGATTTTTTCTCCCTTTTGTTCATTCTTGAATGTAAATCCTCTGACCAGTAGTAAACGGATCAGTATACACGTTGTGTATTTCAGATTGAGCAGGCAACACTTCATCATCGTATAGAGAACGCCTATCTGTCTCCCTTTAACAGCAGTCGTAAACTTAGGGAGAAAGTGTTAAAAGAAGTAAGTTGTAGCATACATCCTCGATAGTCTAGAATATTATATCTCCAATCCTTTATGACATACATACCCTAGTTAATGTTTGAAATAAAAGAAATTTCCAGGCTGCCATCAGGACCCACAGACTTTAGAAGCTGCAGGCCCTGACTAAACTTGTGAGGCATTCCTTAAAAAACTGCAGCGTATTGTGAAAATAAATTGACAAGCAAATTGGTGCAAAACGCAGGCTGTAAGAACCCATACAAATTTGAAACTAAGGCCCCTGCGCGAGATCGAATTTCGAACACTGACCCTAGCCCCAGTCCCAACCAAAGCTTCGTTGTGGAAGGGTAGGGACGATCTCCATCGCCCGTATCGCTAATCCAGCACAGATTTTCTGCCGCTGGTGAGCTTGAACTCAACAACCAATCAAAATGACTGTTCTTAGTGAGAGTTTGGCGTTGATCAACATTAAAAATAGTGGCTTCTCCCCAGAGGCATCAAGTCCAGTAAAGGATTTTACTTCAAATTAGAATGAACCTCTAGCTGAAAAAGATGTTTTTTTAAGTATTAAGACAGGGCGGGAATTCCTTATGCTACCACAAGTTCCCATTTGTTTTTGTGACCGTACATTATGACATAAGTGGAGTACTTGTGATGTGCAACTTCCACTATATGGAGTGCCTGTAACCATTATTGTCGGATTTGATTGGATGGCTATTTTTAGTGTTGCGTTTTTCGATATGGACTAAAAAAGAACCTTTCAGTAGTGAATAGGACCAGGGTACTTTTCATAAAGGAATGAAGATATGACACATGGATACTTGAGGATGTATAAGATACCAACATCTTGCATCAACATCAACATCAACATCAACATCAACATAAGTCAAGCACTATTTATGGTCAGCACGGTTGATGATAAGTCTTTGGGCAAATGTCTCGCCATCTTGTGCCAAACTCATCAAAGTTCCATTTATGGTCTCAATCTACAAACGAAACAAAACTGTTCACACAATCAGCTCCAAAAGGAATGTGCAGCCATTTTGGACCCTGACATGTTTTGTTCCTGTGTTGTAAGTAAGTCAGTTTGCTGCAAGCGTTACTGTAGTTTTGTGATATTTTGTGATCATCCCATGTTTGGAGTTAATGTTAATTTATCAGCTTGTTATCAACATTCCCTGTTTAAGTGTACCTATTGCCCTAAAAGGCAAACTCTACGGTTGTTTTTTCAACAATCACTGACAATGGAAAAATCAGCATGATCAGAGGAAATTTCTGTGATCACAGAATCCTTTTAATGTTCTAAGTATAATTATCATTATAATAATATTTTGCAATATTTAAGGACCTACAAGTCAGTAGCAGTTTTGAGAGAAAAAACGTTTGATATGTTTTCGGATACATTTGCAAGTTATAGATATCAACATAAACAAAGATAATCACTCATTTGATCTTGGATGGAACCTTAAGACATTTCAGTAGTGGGCTCGTGGTTATCAGAAAATAATTCTGATCCAGATAACGTATACCCCATTACGTGTGTTGTTACAGTGTGGGGATGCTAACAATAATGCTGTATCACCGGAGGGGCCAGACAGCCAGCTAGGCAGCACACGCACGGACTCGGACGGAGGGGACGCAGAGACGGACACCATGTGTCCAGCACAGACCTTCCCCAAGACACATGTCAGCGCGACCGGGCTGCAGAGGCTGCTGGATGGTAAGAGACAAGTGGGAAGATGTGGTACATCAGTAATGACTGACTGAAGTTAATGCTTGTGGCCATGCAACAAAATGAACAGGGGTTGACTCAGTGATTTGGTTGATTGCATGTCATCGTACCTGGGTGGTGACGTTGCTAATGATATCAATCACTGGTTTGTCTTGTCAATTGTTTCTATCGGCCATGATATTGCAAGAATATTGCTGACTATGATATTAAACAGTAAGCAAACAGTTCATGCATTTCCTGTTTAAGAAGAAAACCCAGTCTTGGTTTCTCTCCGTAAACTCATGACATAACTGAAATATTGTTCAAAGCAGGATTAAACCCAACTCACTCACTTGTATCTAACAAGGGTACTAAATTACAGGTCCCTACACTAATGGTGCCCAGGACATGGTGATGAAGCGCCACCAGGCTCGCTACCACTCCCACCCGACCTTCAGTAAACAGAGGCTTCTTGTTGACTCAGGGGACAGTGAAGTGAAAGGAGGTAGTTCCTTAACTTTATCTTTACATTTCTTGTTAAGCATATTTCTGAACACTGAGTACACTGGACATAAGGGCAGTACTTTGGCTGTCATTTAATTTGATGACCTCGTCGCCAGATGATGCCAATGTATCAGATAGTACCCTGAGTTATGTCATTGTCTCCAGATGACTGGGATGTGTCAGATAGTACCCTGAGTTATGTTGTTGTCTCTAGATGACTCAGATGTGTCAGATAGTACCCTGAGTTATGTCGTCGCCAGATGACGCCAATGGGTTAGATAGTACCCTGAGTTATGTCGTTGTCGCCAGATGACGCCAATGTGTCAGATAGTACCCTGAGTTATGTCGTCTCCAGATGACGCCAATGTGTCAGATAGTACCCTGAGTTATGTCGTTGTCGCCAGATGACGCCAATGTGTTAGATAGTACCCTGAGTTATGTCGTTGTCGCCAGATGACGCCAATGTGTCAGATAGTACCCTGAGTTATGTCGTCTCCAGATGACGCCAATGTGTCAGATAGTACCCTGAGTTATGTCGTCTCCAGATGACGCCAATGTGTCAGATAGTACCCTGAGTTATGTCGTCTCCAGATGACGCCAATGTGTCAGATAGTACCCTGAGTTATGTCGTTGTCGCCAGATGACGCCAATGTGTCAGATAGTACCCTGAGTTATGTTGTTGTCGCCAGATGACGCCAATGTGTCAGATAGTACCCTGAGTTATGTCGTCTCCAGATGACGCCAATGTGTTAGATAGTACCCTTGAGTTATGTCGTCTCCAGATGACGCCAATGTGTTAGATAGTACCCTGAGTTATGTCGTCTCCATCGTCACGATATGGCTGAAATACTGCCGATGTGACGTTAAATCATAACTCACTCACTATGTCGTCTCCAGATGACGCCAATGTGTTAGATAGTACCCTGAGTTATGTCGTTGTCGCCAGATGACGCCAATGTGTCAGATAGTACCCTGAGTTATGTCGTCTCCAGATGACGCCAAAGTGTCAGATAGTACCCTGAGTTATGTCGTCTCCAGATGACGCCAATGTGTTAGATAGTACCCTGAGTTATGTCGTTGTCGCCAGATGACGCCAATGTGTCAGATAGTACCCTGAGTAATGTCGTCTCCAGATGACGCCAATGTGTCAGATAGTACCCTGAGTTATGTCGTTGTCGCCAGATGACGCCAATGTGTCAGATAGTACCCTGAGTTATGTCGTCTCCAGATGACGCCAATGTGTCAGATAGTACCCTGAGTTATGTCGTCTCCAGATGACGCCAATGTGTTAGATAGTACCCTGAGTTATGTCGTTGTCGCCAGATGACGCCAATGTGTCAGATAGTAGCCTGAGTTATGTCGTCTCCAGATGACGCCAATGTGTCAGATAGTAGCCTGAGTTATGTCGTCTCCAGATGACGCCAATGTGTCAGATAGTACCCTGAGTTATGTCGTCGCCAGATGACGCCAATGTGTCAGATAGTACCCTGAGTTATGTCGTTGTCGCCAGATGACGCCAATGTGTCAGATAGTACCCTGAGTTATGTCGTCTCCAGATGACGCCAATGTGTCAGATAGTACCCTTGAGTTATGTCGTTGTCGCCAGATGACGCAAATGTGTCAGATAGTACCCTGAGTTATGTCGTTGTTGCCAGATGACGCCAATGTGTCAGATAGTACCCTGAGTTGTGTCATTGTCTCCAGATGACTCAGATGTGTCCAGTAGCTTGTCACGCAGCAAGACCATGCCATCACTGGGACGTCCCAAACTCACTCGGAGGCTGACGGGGGTGGCAGATGGGGAGAGGTTACGTCAAGCCAAGGAGATTGTAGAGAAAGCAATTAAGGTAATGAAGGTTTGAAAAGTCAAGGTCAAGATTTGAAACAGATGATAACCAATCTTTATCCTCATGTTGGATGTTTTGTATTTGAGGTGTAATGATATGGTCGGGTCGCGTTACGATACATATCCTGATACTAGGACTGTTACGATTCACTCGCGTATTCGATGAATTGAACCGTATCCATTCATGAATTGAATTCGTTATTCGTGGCCACTAGAATCGAATATTTATGTATATGCAAGCATGTGCATTTACATAAAAATATCCATAAGAACATATTATATGCATCGATTTCTTCAAAAGACAACACTCTTATACTATTTAATTTGACAGTATTGTGGTCACTGGTCATTGTCACATTTGAGCAGATACTAGAACCTGGATAAGTGCAGTATATAAATGTATAGTATATTAATAATTAACAAACCATGTCAAATAATTTATGTTGTTATTGCTTCACTGAATATAACAAATAATACAACAGCTTCTGACTTTTTATTGTATCCATGAATTAATATTCGTATTCGTTACCCTATATTCGTGATACAAATCGTATTCGCCTCATAGTGTATTCGTTGCAGCCCTACCCGATACTATGGGTGCAGTTTGATTTGTATCCTGATACAGTACTTTAAGTTGATATTCTTTCTTTTAGCAGGTGAACCACATTCCTGTATCATTAGTTTTTAAACTACAGAGATCAAATATGGGATATTGTAATGCAGAAACATTTTGGCTAGAGGGTGCTGTAAATGTTATGCTAATACATCCTACCATGACATACTAGAGAATCTCCATAAGCTGGTGGTTGAACAGTTTCTGTTATTATTCACATGTTTTTACACCAATATAAATTGTAATGAAATTATTGTATGTATCATGATACAGGGGTTGTAAATTGATGTATTGTATCATTGGCATCGTATGATGATATAAAACTGTATCACTGTATTGTCACACCACTATTTCAGATACAATTCTTCAAAATCAAAATTCTTTAAAGTTATATTACTGGGAAAGTTTTAACCAAATCACTGTTAGATTGAGAGAAAACATGTGTACAGCTAATTACTTTTCCCGGCTTAGTTTGCAAGAAAATACACACGTTTATCTTAATCTAAAGATACAAAACAATACCGAGAAAAATGGGAAATACAATTTTAACGGTTAATCATCATGTCTCTCTATGTTTTATCTCAAATTTCATATCTGTATTGACCAAATTTTAATTACTTGTTCGTTAACCTCAATTTGCTGAAGGGATACAATGTACCGTATTCGGCGTAATAAGCGCCCAGGGCGCTCTCCAAATTATAAATAGGGGGCTCTTATTAGAATATTATTTTGGTGAAAAAAAAAGTTTAAAGCTAAATTTCATGGTTTATGCTGACAGCCTGAAATGTTTATGTACGACAGATATATGTTTCCAGAATTTAATTGCCAATAATAAAGGGTGCATATAACACACGAGGCGTATTATACGCAAATAGGGGAAGGAGTGCTAATTGGGATTGTTCACTAGCCAATATATCAGCAAATCTCGCCGTGGGCGCTTATTAGAGCGAGGTGCTTATTACGTCGAATACGGTATTTGTTTTCTGTGTATAACACTTGAATATTGGTTTTTACAAAATACTGAATCACCTAGACGGGGGTGCACATTATACTTGGGTGCGCACTTTACTCAAAAAAAATATGGTATTTGTTCTGGTAAATATAATTATGCTGCATGCTGTTGTTAGTGTTACCATGTCAACTGTAACCCATGGCAACGTTGTTTCAGTACCGCAAGGTGTTCACCATCCAAGGTGGCTACTCCGTGATTCGCCAGAGTCTGCGTCGCAGGGGTTGGGTGGAGAAGTTCTACCGGATACCTGGGCCGGGCAAGAAGGCTAACAAGTCCAAACATAAGAGAACATCTGATGACGATGATAGTGATGATGACGATGATGATGGTGGTGGTGCCACTGATGGCAATGACAATACTGATGGCAATGATGATGATGATGATAATGATGATGACAACGATGATGACAACCATGATGGTGGTTAGTACATGTTTGTCGGAATTTGAGAAATTATTTTGGAAACTGAATAATAGTGAAAATGTATTGTTAGAAGATGTATTTAGAGAAGGTTTTACATGTTTAATACAACATAAAGCATAAAATTGGATGTATATAAGAATCGTGAGGATATTATGAAAATGAAACTTTTCAGTTTACCACATCGTCTATATCCCTTTGAAATTAACATAACTCTGCTAGTCTGAGACTAGTTTAATTTAGAAAAGACAAGTGACATTTCCTTGCTGACTACACTTACCACTACCACCATTACGCATATGCAACTCTGTAGCAGATCAATTTTGTGTAATTTTGAAAATACAAGACAAAGACAGTTTCTAACATTTGTCTAATCCTGCCGTGGTCATGATGGTGACCAGTGATGGGTTTTCTCTTTGATAAATTATTTTCTGTTTATAGTGTTAAACCTTTATGCATCTGCGCATCTGTGTAGTGATTATAGACATTTTTGTTGCAATTGTATGGTTTGATGTTATTGATTAATGATTATTTAATCAGGAAATGTGTAATAATTAGTGTAATATTTTGGTATTTCAGGTGACCATCCAAAGATACCACCCTGGGAGGAGGATGATGGCTTGTATGGAATCATGGTCAGTAGTTCACCTAACTGACCACTTAGCATGCTTAGTTGTCATATTGTGTTGTATGGGAGAAACAATGTCACATTGGGAACTTTTTTCCTTTGGGTTAAAATAGGATCGGTCAGTCAGGCTCAGTTTCATGGGTGTCTTCGTGCCCTGACAGAGTGGTACCTTGCTCATAACATCGACCACTGGTTTGTCTGGACTAGATTTGATTATTACAGGCCGTTGTGATTAACTGGAATATTGCTGACTGAGGCATAAAACAATATTCACTCTGGTGATGATGTTTGCGGTCCTGTTAGCATGAACTTATTATGCAACTGTCGCTGTAATCATGGTGATGTAGGCTGTTATCTGGCTCAGTTAAGGGGCGGTCGGGTAGCCTAGTGGTTAAAGCGTTCGCTCGTCACGCCGAAGACCTGGGTTCGATTCCCGACATGGGTACAATGTGTGAAGCCCATTTCTGGTGTCCCCCGCCGTGATATTGCTGGAATATTGCTAAAAGCGGCGTAAAACCAAACTCACTCACTCACTCACTGGCTCAGTTAACAGGTTGGTGGGTTGTGTTTATACACATATGTTGGAGAATTTTACATTGGAAAAGTTTTACATGAAAATGTGAGGTTTGTTGTACAATGTTGTACTTAATCTACATTTATACATGGGAGAACATACCTACTTGAGAACACTTTCCTAACTCTCTGTGGTTGGATGACACCAACATCAGTTGGTTGGTTTGTTGTTTAACGCCGCACGCAGCAATATTCCAGCTATATGAGGCCGGTCTGTAAATATTCGAGTCTGGACCAGACAAGCCAGTGATTAATACCACGAGCATCGATCCACGCAATTGGGATCAATGACATGCATCAACCAAGTCAGCGAGCATGACCAGACGATCCTGTTAGTCGCCTTTTAAGACAGCATTAGGTCAGACCAGGGACTTTCTACTTCCCATTTACATGGCACATAGTAATTAATTAAGTGCTTTCTCACCAAAAGAATCTGAAATTGGAAAATCCTAATCGTAGTACCTTAAAACTTGTTAAGGACGTTAAAAGATAGTATTTGTTGTTACCCTGCCTGGCACACCACATTAAGGGGCTAACACTAGGACTGGTTGGCTCGGAGTCAGTATACTGTGTCTGAGTGGGGTATTCATGTTAAACTGTGGCATGGTATCTCAGTGGGCTAGCAGTATAAATCGGCATCAGTCCTAGTACAAGCAGCCACACACACACACAATTCACGTCGCTAAGTAAGAGCAATAATCTTGGATGTGATGTTAAACCCCTTTTCACCACCTAAAACTGTTGTTCAGATTCCATGCTTGATAACCCCTCAGCAGTATATATATGTGTAAGTTGTTTGGGCTGTGCATTATTTCTGTGTATTTGTCTCGGGCAGTGTCTCTCTGACTAATGGACATGTCTGTCCTCAAGTTGCTCAATACTTTCTCATGTGAACTTTGCACCTTGCAGTCACGGATGGTTCGCAATGTGAACCCGTCATTCATCTGGGTGTTGAAGAGAGATGTGATAGACTACCGCTTCCTGTCAAAGGAGCAGATGGTCAATCATTACTGCAAGGCTGGATCATTCACCACCAAGGTGAGTCATCTGGATCAATCATTACTGCAACCATGGATCATTCACCATCAAGGTGAGTCATCAGGTCAATCATTACTGCAACCATGGATCATTCACCACCAAGGTGAGTCATCTGGGTCAATCATTACTGCAACCATGGATCATTCACCAACAAGGTGAGTCATCGGGTCAATCATTACTGCAACCATGGATCATTCACCATCAAGGTGAGTCATCTGGGTCAATCATTAATGCAACCATGGATCATGCACTACCAAGTGGAGTCACCAGTGTCAATCATTACTGCAACCATGGATCACTCACTACCAAGGTAAGTCATCTCGGTCAATCCTTACTGCAACCATGGATCATTCACCACCAAGGTGAGTCAGCTGGGTCAATCATTTCTGCAACCATGGATCATTCACTACCAAGGCGAGTCATCTGGGTAAAAAAATATAATGCACATGTTAAATGGATTGATTTCACCTTCTTTTTTGCAGGCTTCATGAGTGTGTGTGTGTTGTAGGTTGGTTTGTGCGTCAACATGAAGAATGTGCCGTGGTATGACAACGCTGACCCTGACATGTTCTTTCCCCGATGTTATCGACTCAGCCAGGAGGAGGACAAGGCAGCCTTCATAGGTACTGGCTTATAATGCTATAGGAATAGGCACTGGCTTATAATGCTATAGGAATAGGTACTGGCTTATAATGCTGTAGGGATTGGTACTGGCTTATAATGCTGTAGGAATAGGTACTGTCTTATAGTGCTGTAGGAATAGGTACTGTCTTATAATGCTGTAGGAATTGGCACTGGCTTATAATGCTGTAGGAATCTACAGACATCTAATAAAATTCAAATTCTGCTAACCAGTACTGTTATAAGAATATTTCACAACTACATACTTTTTCTGGGTCCCCAGCATCGCTTTATTAATTTGATTTTTCACCTAGACAAGAAATCTGGTGGCAGATGGCTACTCACTTATTGCAAGTTTGGATACGCCTGAAGAGTTTATCTTAGGTTAAAGTTGAAAGTATACACCTTGACTCAATATTCCCCATCAGTTCAAAACACCACTTATATATTCTTTGTCTGTTCCAGACGACTACCGGCTGACGGCTTGCATGAACATCATCAAGATTGTGGTGAGTCAGAGCATGGATGGTACTGTACAACCCAAGGAGACAGGGGAAGACACGCCCACCTCCCCTGCCTGTACTAACCCCGAGTGTACCCGATCTGTACCCAACTCCACCTCCGGCAACAAGTGTGTCCACACACAGAAGGGGGAGGAAGACAAACAGGCGGAGGACAAAGATGAACCCAAGGATTCATCCGATTCATCCAAACGTAAGATAGTTTGAGAGTTACGTCATACAAGTGGTGCTGCAACAAGCAACAGTAGGGATGCCAGGGCATGGAACAAGGATCTCTATATTCATGTTTTTGAAGGGCAGTTAATTGACCTTCCCTGTTCCACAAAGCAGTCTTAGCACTACGACTGCCGTAAGTCTATTTTAAAGTATCAGAGTTGTCTTAGCGCTAAGATTGCTTTGTGGAACAGCGCCCTGACCAGATTCAACAAGCAATGTAATTTTATGGCATTCTTAAGCTTTTTGATCAATTATATTTACATTATTAATAAATGTATTGGTTTAATTTTTTTTTTTATACAGCAAAATGAGTAACATTGTCTTTGAACACACAAAAAAGTGGTGATTTTTGTAGGTTTTTTACATTATTGATTAAGCTGACTTAAACCATCTTCATGAGGCAAGAGAGTTAACTGACTTTAAAAGTCCAGTTTCCACCGTTGCTGAACTAGGCTGGAATTTCTGGGCTCGATCTTGGTGCCACCAGTGGCTGTTTCGAGTTAAGTCCCTTCTATGCCTCTCCTATGGACCAATCAGATTCCACCTCTCGTATCACTTGCATTTGCTTCAAACCAAATGGCGGCGCCGAGTCAAGATGTTCTGATCGACAATCAAGATCTGTATTGTGAGAAAACGGGTCTTTCATTGCCCAATACATCAAATCACGAGAGTACCTTCAACCTTGATTAAAAACATGAAAAGATTTGGAAAATATCTGTTGACAACAAGTTGGCGGTGCACACCCTGTGCAAATCCTGCAATCGACCTAAATCTGCATGACAGTTTACGAACCGGAATTCGATTTCGGTGTGCGATTTTGATTGACCTATGCATGGACTCGTTAGTCCAGCCAAAATGTAACTCCATAATACCAGCCTAGTTCAGCAAGGGTGGAAACTGGACATTTATAGTCAGTTAACTCCCTTGCCTCAGGAAGATGACTTAAACATTAGGATCCACAGATGATCCTGGTTCTATGATCATCACAAGTCTTGTTATTCGGTACAGCAGTTGCAACCTGCCTACTGCTGAGATACCTCTGTGGAATGAGGCCCTAGGGGACTAGATGTCATATATTGCTGCGGTTTAAACCATGGCCCCTTTGACATCTATGTTTCCCATTGTAGCCTCATCATTAACGCCCCGGGGGAAGAAGCCCAAGAAGAAGGTGCAGGTGCCCTTGCGAGTTCTGGAGCAGGCCATGTATAGATGTGAGCAGTTCCTCGCCTCCAAGGACCACGATGATATTGATGTTCATCATGATGTGAGTGCAACACCTCCATTGTTCGCAGTGAACATAGGAGCAGCCTTGTCAAAAGTGACCTTCTCGGTCATTTAATATTTGGTAGCCTCGTTTCTCCACAAGAAAACTTTATTTGGGGTTTGCATTTGAAATTTGTTGCAGGGTTTTACACGATGCACAAATCTAGGTCCAGTACGCACAAATGCTGAGAAAAAGAAAAAGAATATACTGCAATCCCAGGGACGCACAATACCTACAGCATATTAAAAGCAGTTATGGGTGTCTGTCATTTAATCCATCAATCGACCCGCGAAGACCCGGGGTAGTATAGGTCTTCAGCAATTTAACCAATGCTTGCCATGAAAGGCAACTATGCTTGTCATAAAAGGCAACTAACAGGATCGGGTGGTCAGGCTCGCTGACTTGGATGATGCATGTCATCGATCCCAATTGCGTGGATCGATGTTCATGATGTCAATCACTGGATTGTCTGGTCCAGACTCGAATATTGCTGGAATATTGCTGAGTGCGGCGTTAAACAACAAACCAACCAACAAACCAATCATCCATCAATCATTAGCACTGTCCACGTGATCATTGATTCATTACAGGCTATAGAGTAATTATCAAAAATATAGTACACTACAAGATTTCATTACTTTACAGGGGGGCACGGGTGGCTCAGTCGTCTAAGGCGCCGCAATTCGCTGTGCAGAGTTGCGTCCCTTGGGCACACCGGAAACCTATGATTGTGGGTTCGAATCCTGGTTCGCCCCGATTATGTTTCTAGGTTTGTCAGCACCATTACCGTGCTCTTGGGTTTCACCGAAGTGGTAAACGTCTGAGACCTGCATCACTTCGGGCTTTCCTCCCACATTAAGCTGACACGCCGCGATATAACTGGAATACTGTTAAAAGCGGCGTTAAACCCAACTCACTCACTCACTCTCATTACTTTACAGGACCTCATATTGCTTTCAAGTACACTTAAAAGTAATTTTGGTAGGTCCCCTGGACCCCCTTTTTGTAAGTCAAGGTAAAAACCCTGCATTGTCAATGGGCAATTAACATGACCAGTTTTTGTAAATAAGCGAAAAAATATTGAAAATTTACATCATGGTAAAAAGGCGCTTGCCATAAACTGACATTTTTGAATTGTTGTCTTGCAAAACACAGTAGGGGGATGATTTGTGAAATTTTGCTCACAAGACTTAGATCTAATTCTTATCATTCTATTTCCTATGGACAACAGGTATTGTAGTACCTACATTCTAAGGCTAACTGCACTCTGCTTTGTTAATATATCACACACCAGGAGCTGTGCTGATGTTCTTTACTCCAGGTCTCAGTGTAGAGGAAGGTATATAAGTCAGCATTGAATTTGAAGGTTCTACCGGGGTCACTGCATAGGCGGGGTCATATTATCCAGTATTTTATATATTGTTTTCTTAATCCTAATTTAGGGTTTAGTAGTGACCGTTCTGGCAAGATTGGTTTTAGGTGTTGAGAACTTGGGACATTTGTTTCTGAGAGTTTAGTCACGCTCAGTTCAGCTGGGCTTTATCCTAATTTAGGGTTTAGTAGTGACCGTTCTGGCAAGATTGGTTTTAGGTGTTGAGAACTTGGGACATTTGTTTCTGAGAGTTTAGTCACGCTCAGTTCAGCTGGGCTTAATCCTAATTTAGGGTTTAGTAGTGACCGTTCTGGCAAGATTGGTTTTAGGTGTTGAGAACTTTCGGACATTTGTTTCTGAGAGTTTAGTCACGCTCAGTTCAGCTGGGCTTTATTTTTTAATCACCAGTTATCATTTCCTGAACAGTCTTCTCTATGCTGTGTTTTATCTTGTTGCAGCCTATGACTCTGACAGATGGCCAGTGGGATCAGCTGATCCAGCACTACTATCACCTGGCACAGTGAGTGATTGACACATGTTAATTACCTATCAACTAAACAGTGCCTGCCAGTTCTCCATCCATTGTCTCTATGAAATTGAAGAGGTTAAATACAATAAACATGATAATCGTTTTAGTATGTATTTATTTCATTTTAAAATGAAGTGGGAACTGTTTCAAAATTCTGATCAAATGGTTAGATGTTTTTTTGTAATTATTGTTATATTTCAGAAATCTTTGTTACAAGTAGAGGCTCCTGCCCAGTGTAGCACGAGCCCCATGTAAAACTAAATGGTGTGAGCTGATTAGATGTTAATCATGATAATTGTGAACAGTTGATTATCTAGCATTAATTACCAATCTCATTAAAATCCGATCTTAGTTCTCGCTACCGCTAAACAAAGATCTGAGGACATTGTTACGTATTGATGACTTGAGAGTAACCTCCCTTACTGTACGCATATAGGTATGACGTCACTGTTAGCGTCGTCTGATGGTGTTCTGGAAGCTGAGAAGTAAATCCAATGACCAACCACTTCTATCTGTTATAACTTGGTAGTTATGAAGTCTGGTAGCATCAAACACTTAACATGGTGTCAGAAGTAAAACTTAGATTGCTATCATAACGTTGAACTGTGTTGAAATTCCCTATTCTGACTGTTTCTGTTCCCTGTCTGACTGACCGCGTGAGTTTCTGATGCATGTCACCTATTTTCGTGATACCGATACGGCGTGGTAAATCTACTGAACTGTGTCATATTTCGTTGTGAAATTTGATATATACTCTGACTGTAAGGGATTTCAACCAGTAATCTGAACTGTTTCTGATATGATCTATGAGAACAACGGTGTTTTCTATCTGAACTGACTGAATACTATTGTGTGTGTAATTGAATCTACGGAAAGCCATTACGCCATATTGCTTGATTACTGTTTTTGACTGATCATGGCAGAAGGTAATCAGGCTGCACTCCAAATTGTTCACATGCCAGTTAACATTCCACTGCCTACTAGATTAGATCTGAAAGGTGATCTGTCTAGAAATTTCAAGAAATTCAAACGAATGTGGGAAAATTATGAGCTTGCTTCTCGCACTAGGACTGATAGTGAGGAATGTCGATCGGCTACCCTATTGACATGTATTGGTCCAGATGTCTTAGACATTGTAGATGGATTAGAATTTGAAAATGAAGCAGATAGACAGAAGGTGGACAAAATACTGGAAAAACTTGAACATTATTGTATAGGGGAAACAAATGAAACTTGGGAAAGATACAATTTCAACAGAAGGGACCAGGAACAATCCGAGTCCATTGATTCTTATGTTGCAGTATTAAGAAATCTTGCAAAGAGTTGCAACTATGGGGATTTAGCGGAGTCATTGACCCGTGACAGGATGGTAATGGGCATCCGTGATAATGCAACAAGAAAGAGATTGTTACAAGCTTCAAAACTGTCTTTAAAGGACTGCATAGATATTTGTAGGTCGCATGAAAGTGCGACGAGACGTCTGAAATCACTATCGCAAGCTGAAGATGTTCAGTTTGTAAGTCAAAGGAAAACCAACAAGTCACAGAAACCTAATGCTAAGCAACAGATCAAAACATCTGAACTGCTCAAATGTAAGTTCTGTGGAAAGAGGCATGAGTTTCAAAAGAAAGAATGTCCGGCATGGGGTAAGACTTGTGCAAAATGCAAAAAGAGAAATCACTTTGCTGCTTTGTGTCCTGGAAAGAGCAAAGACAGGGTTCACATGGTGGATAGTGATACTGAAGATAGTGAGTCTGAAGAGTTTGTAATGTCTGTAACTTCTGACTGTGTCAATTCTGTACAAGTTGATGAAATGAACTTGGTCAATCAGAATTACCCCAAAAGGATATTTGCAACATTGGTTGTGAATAGAGAGGAAGTTGAATTTCAACTTGACTGTGGGTCAACTGTTAACATTCTGCCTTCTTCTGTGTATACTCAAGTGTTCAGGGATGACAACTTCAGTAAATTGGACGCTAATCTGATTTCCACATTGCGAATGTACAACGGTGCTGAGACAAAACCTCTTGGGAAGATACGTGTGTCACTACAAAACCCCAAGAATGGCCGCAGGTACAGTGTTGAGTTTCTAATTGTGTCTGAGAAGGGATGCAAACCAATATTAGGGGCACGAGCTGTTCAACAGATGCAACTGATCACTGTGAACTTTGACAATATTCTGTTGATGGAATCACCCGAGGTGAATCTAACTGCTGACTCTTCACTTGAGCCTGGGAAACTAGAAATGACTGATATCAAACAAAATTATCAGGATTTGTTTGATGGTGAGGGAACTCTGGAAGGCTTTCTACACTTGGAGGTTGACAATACTGTAACCCCAGTACAGTTACCATGTCGCAAGATTCCTGTTGCTGTACAATCTCAGCTGAAATCTGAACTGGAAAGACTGACGGAGCAGAAGATTATTACACCTGTTGACATACCAACAGACTGGGTGTCAGCCTTGGTGGTGGTGCAGAAACCGAGGACAAACAAAATCAGGATCTGTATCGACCCGAAACCGTTAAACAAGGCACTTAAGAGAAACCATTATCCGATAATGACTATAGATGATGTGTTGCCTAAGTTGGCCAAGGCCAAATGTTTCTCTTTGGTGGATGCCAAAAATGGGTTCTGGCATGTTCAGTTGGATGAACAAAGCAGTTACCTGACAACGTTTGAAACTCCCTGGGGAAAGTACCGTTGGCTCCGTATGCCATTTGGCCTCTCACCAGCTCCTGAAGAGTTCCAACGACGACTGAATGATGCCATATCTGGACTGGATGGTGTTCGTGCGATTCATGATGATATCTTAGTTTACGGCGTGGGAGAAACTGATCAGGATGCTGAGGTCGATCACGACAAGAAATTGATCGCCCTTTTTAATTGTTGTCGAGCGAAGGACATCAAACTGAATGAGTCTAAACTAAAGTTGAAACTGCCAAAAGTGCCCTACCTGGGTCATGTACTCACTGCTGATGGACTCCAAATTGATGAGACCAAGGTTGAGGCTATAAAGAAAATGCCTTCACCTACTGACAAACAAGGTGTGCAACGCATCTTGGGGATGGTCAACTATGTGCAAAAGTTTGTACCCAATCTCTCTGAAATCACCGCTCCACTGAGAGATCTGCTGAAAGGTGAAGTGAACTTTCGATGGGACAACACTGTACATGGACAGTGCTTGGAGAAGATTAAGCACGTTCTGTCAGAACCTCCTGTTCTGAAATATTTTGATAATGAAGCTGTCACACATCTCCAATGTGATGCTTCACAAAGTGGCCTCGGAGCATGTCTTATGCAAGATGGACAACCAGTGGCATATGCATCCAGATCAATGACAAGCACAGAGCAACATTACGCTCAGATAGAAAAGGAAATGCTTGCAATAGTCTTTGGACTGGAACGTTTTGACCAGTATGTGTATGGACGCAAGGTGACCATAGAGACAGATCACAAACCTTTAGAGTCCATCTTGAGAAAGAGCCTCCTGAGCGCACCTAAAAGGCTGCAACGCATGATGCTACGGTTGCAGAAGTACGACTTTACAGTGGTGTACAAGAAAGGAAGCCTGATGTTCATGGCTGACACATTAAGTCGTGCGTACTTACCACATGACAGACAATTGATCACTGACGAAGGCCAAGTGTTGATGATAAACATGAGGAGCTCAACAGCTATTGACATTGAGACAATTCAAATGGTCGAGCATTTATCCATATCTCAACAGAGACTAGCTGAACTGAAACAAGCCACAAGTAAAGATACTTGCATGAGCAAGCTGATGCAGCTCATACAGCAAGGCTGGCCACCGTCAAAGGAAGATGTACCACACTCAGTACGTGAGTACTTTACCTTTCGGGACGAACTCTCTATGCAGAATGGCGTAGTATTCAAGGGCGAGCGTGTTGTTGTACCTGCAAGTATACGTGGCAACATCATGGAGAGAATTCACTCAAGCCACATCGGTGTGCAAGGGTGTATACGACGAGCAAAAGAACTTGTCTACTGGCCGAACATGGGACAGGAGATAATAGATCTTGTAAGCAAGTGTGAAACCTGCAACACCCTACAACAAGACCAAAGCAGGGAGCCTTTGATCAGTCATCATATTCCTACTCGTCCCTGGGAGAAACTGGGTTGCGATTTGTTTGAGTTTGATCAGAAAGACTTTTTGATTACTGTGGACTATTATTCCGACTTCTTTGAAGTTGACAGACTCCACAGCAAGAAAGCTCCTGAAATCAACAAGAAGCTCAAGTCACATCTAGCTAGACATGGGATTCCAAATCAGATTATCTCCGATAACGGTCCACCGTTCAACTCTGAAGCTTTTCGTAAGTTCTCAGACAACTATGAATTTGAGCATGTTACGTCGTCACCTCGTTACCCACAATCCAACGGGAAAGTTGAAAGCGCGGTGAAGATAGCTAAGAAGCTGATGACAAAGTCACTACATGCCCAAACTGATCCTTACTTAGCTCTCCTGGACTGGCGAAATGTTCCGACAGAGGGAATAGGATTTTCTCCGGTACAGCGACTCTTTAGCAGGAGAACAAAGACCAAACTCCCAACAGCAAGTACACTTTTACAACCAAAGACCGTTGATGGTGTGTCAGACAAGATAGCTTGTAAAAAATCTAAACAAGCTTACTACTTCAATAGAGGCACCAACGAACTTCCTGCTCTGAAGGAGGGAGATGTGGTAAGAGTCAAGCCTACTAAGTTCGACAAACAGTGGAAGAAAGCTGTTATAGAACAGGTGGATGTGAGGTCGTATGAACTGCGTACAGAAGATGGCAGTAACTTGCGCAGAAACAGACGACATTTGAGAAAGTCTCATGAAGCTCCTCCATTGTTTGTGGATACAGATATGGCTGAAATGAACCGGTTAGAACCAGATCTGTGTGTGGAAAGAACTTCCGCTGAAACTCCTATGAGGAACTGTACTGACAAGCCTGTAGACCAAACATCAAGCAAAACTACAGAGAGAGTTCAGATTCCTGCACAGACAACTAGACAGTCAAGTGAGACAACTGAGAAGAGAACTTCTCGTGGTCGTGTGATCAAACAACCGTCTAGATTCAGAGGTTATCTTACAAATTAAGAACTTTAAAGTAAAGCTGTTTTGCAGTAAAATTGTGTTATGGACTGTAAGCCTTTTTCCACAGAAGAACTGTTTAGTTTTTATGTTATGAACTGTGTGCCTTACTAAGGACGAAATCAATTCATAACTGTTATTGTGTTGAAAGTTTGGGAAGTGTTTCAAATATGCTTTCGGTTTTCAGCAACTGAGCTGTTAAGAACAAAGACTTGTTTTACCATTAGTATTGCATTAATGTTTCAAGACTTTAAAGGTTACCCTTAAAAGGGGAGATGTTACGTATTGATGACTTGAGAGTTACCTCCCTTACTGTACGCATATAGGTATGACGTCACTGTTAGCGTCGTCTGATGGCGTTCTGGAAGCTGAGAAGTAAATCCAATGACCAACCACTTCTATCTGTTATAACTTGGTAGTTATGAAGTCTGGTAGCATCAAACACTTAACAGACATCCCATTAGGGGTCACGTCAGAACGACCTTTCAGCCGACCAATCAGAGCGTCGCTTACCAGAGCATGAAAGTGACAGTCGGAATGTGATTTTTAATCATGCAACCTTGAAAACTTTAACACGGGGTATGGCGAACGATAGTTACGGGCTTAACGACATTCCAGAATGTTCTTTTGTTTAGGTTTCAACGTTTTAATCGAGAATTTGTCAAAATACGTTTCGAAGGGTAGTCGCCATTTTAAAATTAGTGCCATAAAGCACGAGAAAGCTGCCTTCTGATTGGCTAATGCCGACTTCTTGTCAGTCATTCCATAGGTCGGTCAAAGTTCGCGAAAGGTCAGTCTGACATGACCCGTAATGGGATGTCCTCAGATCTTGGTATAGCGGTAGCGATAACTAAGATCTGATTTTAATAAGATTGTAATTACAAAATGTAAATTCTGTCAATGAAATTGTCTTTCCTGGGGGTTGCCCTTGATTGACTCACTAGTTACCCCCGTCATTTCCTCTCACACTACTCTGGAGTTTCAGGGCAGCTGACAAATGAGGTTAGCTGGTCACATGGTTGACAGTGTCATGGCGACACAACGTCATGGATCATTGCTAATACTGATAATCACTGGTTTGCCTAGCCTAGTCTCTATTATTCCAACGGCTTGAATATTATGACTGTGGTGTAAACATCCTCTCACTTACTCCCTCTAGGAACAGACAAATGGTGACAGTTTGTGTAATATGCCTTTGAGATGCTGATGATGATGCAGCAACTACTGGTGCTTGTTTCAGTGACGAGGGCATCATGCAGTCTGTGGCTCAGAACATCCTCGGCCAGTGTGAGAGTCTTCTCAACAGACTCAAGACAAGATGGCCTCAGTATGAGATGGACGGCGCTCGAAATGTCTGGATTGTCAAACCTGGGGCCAAGTCAAGAGGGAGAGGTATGCAGTGACATTGTTGGGCTTGTCATTTAGAGTTTTACAGATGTACCCACATACTTTTCTGTATACTGAATGTACCCAAAGCAAAATGAAAGTTTACTATGGTTATAACAAACTCAAAGGGACCACTAATTTTAGTTCGTTATAACCGTATTTCGTTATAAGCGTAGATAAAGCCTATATACAGCAAATGGACGGGTCCCAATAACACTGTTCGTTATATCCGTCAGTCGGTTATAAGCGTGTTCGTTATAAACATATTTCACATTATACGAATGTACCCGTACTTGGCACATCACTGGACCCAGTATACACGAAACGGGTTTCTTTACAGACTTGTTTAGACTTAATAACTGGTTTTGTGCTTTGTGGAATGGACACATTCACTCATGCAAGGCATTCATTGTCTGGCTTATCAGCACATTCACACTGAATGTTCGCAACAAAGCTGTTAATATTTATTTATACCTTTTAGTATCATGACTTACAGATAATACAATGTCTTTTTGTTGATTTTTACACTTTTTTTATTGTTTTATAGTAAAATCGCCAAATGTTGTGCTCTTTTCTCAATGTCTGCAATACATCTTTACAGTGAGTCGAAATTGTTGACATGTTCAGAGGGGAGTATTTAACTGTGTGTACAAGGGGAGACAACTCTGTTTGCAGGTATCATATGCTATGACAGAATCGAGGACATGTTGAAGCTGGTCAACTCCCAGGTTGTGCGGAAAGACAGCAAGTTTGTTGTGCAGAAGTATATAGGTGAGCGGACCACTATCCTACCCAGAGTTCCTTGCAGTCAGCATAGTTTCTCTGCCACAGGCCAGTGTGAAGTGACGATTTGTTACATCTTACGCAGTCCATTCAACAATATACATATGTTTGTTGTCCATTTCATATTTGAAAAGTGTACATATTTAGTTAACATATGCCACGAAATGTTTAACTTTCATTGAGGAAACTATTTCCATTTGAATATTTATGCTTTGTTTACTGCCCAAATGCCTGAAATCAACTAGTCTATAGATGTCTGACCAAGAGTCATAATTTCCTCATGATAGCCCTTTCTCTCATCCGGGTTAAAACAGGTCTTCAGTCGTAAGAGGCGACTATGCTTGTTGTAAGAGGCGACTAACGGGATCGACTGACTTGGTTGATGCATGTCATCGTATCCCAATTGCATGCATCAATGCTAAGTATGTCAATCACTGGATTGTCTGGTCCAGACTCGATTATATACAGACTGCCGTCATGAAGCTGGAATATTGCTGAGTGTGGTGAGTGTGGTGTTGAACAACACACAAACAAACAAACAAATCTCACATGCCCAACTTCATTTATGCCTATCATTCCAGAGCGGCCATTGTTGATCTACAACACCAAGTTCGACATCCGCCAGTGGTTCCTGGTGACGGACTGGAATCCCCTGACTATCTGGTTCTACCAGGACAGCTACCTGCGCTTCTGTTCCCAGCAGTACACGCTGGATGACTTCAACGAGGCAATCCACCTCTCCAACAATGCCATACAGAAGCACAAGAAGAACGGTCCCCGCTCCAACAAGCTGCCCAGTGACAACATGTGGACCCACGAGGACTTCCAGGAATATCTCAAGTATATAGCTTATAGCCAGGGTGGAGAGATGCTCCCCACACATGTTAATGTGACCTAAGGGGCGGTCAGGTAGCCTAGTGGTTAAAGCGTACGCTCGTCACGCCGAAGACCCGGGTTCGATTCCCGACATGGGTACAATGTGTGAAGCCCATTTCTGGTGTCCCCCTCCGTGATATTGTTGGAATATTGCTAAAAGCGGCGTAAAACCATACTCACTCACTCACTAATGTGACCTAAGCTTTAGCTCGTCACGCTGATGTCCGGGGTTCGATTCCCAACGTGGGTACAATGTGTGAAGCCCATTTCTGGTGTCCCCCGCTATAATATTGCTAAAAGCGGTGCAAAACCATACTCATTCACTACTAAATTAGGTTCCCAGGGCCCTGTTCCACAAAGTGATCTTAGTGCTAAGTTGATCGTAACTCCCATTCTTTAACACTGACTTACGACAATCGTAGCGCTAAGATCGCTTTGTGGAACGGGGCCCAGCAACCTATTCTTGTTGTAAGAGGTGACTTAATTAGATTCCTTGGTTAGATTCAGTGACTTGGTTGATTGTGTCTTTGTACCCTGACATTGGTCATGACATCAGTCTCTGGTTTAACTGGTCCAGACAGTCATTTGCAGACTGACATGACATAGCTGGATTATTGCTGACTGACGACAGCATCGTTGAGTCGAATCCCAGCTTTAGCCTGATTAGGATATTTGGTTTTTCAGCACCATACCTAGGCTCGGGTTTCACTGAAGTTATATGTATACGTCTTGCATCACTTAAAGCTTTCTATCAGCATTAAGCTGCCATGTCCTCATATAAACGTAATACTGTTCTAGGTATTCAAACCAAACTCACTCATCCTAACAATCTAGTTTTAGCAACCACCTCCATGATCTAGTGGATAGAGCAGAAGGGTTGATAGAATGAGCCCTGGCCGTGTCAAACCAAAAGACGTTAAAATATGGTACTTGTTGTTGCCTGCCTCCTGCTCGTCATCTTCCCGAGGCAAGAGCGTTAACTGACTATAAAAGTCCAGTTTCCACCCTTGCCGAACTAGGCTGGTATTATGGAGTTACATTTTGGCTGGACTAACGAGTGAGTCTATACATAGTCCAATCAAAATCGCGTACCGAAATCAAAATCCGGGTCTTAAACTGTCGTGCAGATTTCGATCGATTGCAGGATTTGCAAATCATGTGCACCACCAACACGTTGTCAGTAGATATTTTCCGAATCTGTTCATGTTTTTAATCAAGGTGCTCACGTGATTTGATGCACTTCGCGATGTAAGACCCGTTTTATCACAATACAGATCATGATTATCGATCAGATTGTCCTGACTTGGTGCCACCATTTTGTGTGAAGCAAATGCAAGTGATACAAGAGGTGGAACCTGATTGGTAGGCTTATAAGGGACATAACTGGTAATAGCCACTGGTGGCGCTACAATCTAGCCCAGGAATTCCAGCTTAGTTCGGTAAGGGTGGAAACTGGACTTTTAAAGTCAGTTAACTATCTTGCCTCAGGAAGATGCCTGCTCGTCATTAATGGGATAAGACAGGGACGTGTCGTCTGTAATCAGTTTACTGGATCTGAGTGGGTTATCCATGTTAAAACTGTGGCATGGTATCTCTGTGGTCTAGCACTATAAAATCGGCATTTGTCCAGACTAGTACAAGCAGCCACACATACACATGCATGCAAGTCACTGTATAAATGCAATAATCTTGAATGTGACATAAAACCTCATTTCACCTCATCTAGTTTTAGCTTCATATCTGTTTGAAGTTTCCCTGAAATGATCATCCTAACAAAAGCAGCATGGATCCACATTTAAGGAAGCTGACCATGCTGACCATTTCTTTCTCATACACAGTAGGTAAGATATTTGTGCTGATAGGGCTACCCACCCACTGTGTCATGTGGATGTTGAAAGTACAGGGCAGTGTCACATCTCTTCACACATGTAGCCAGGTGTGTGACCTACTGTGTGTGTTTCAGGACTCGGAAGCAGGCTACTGCGTGGGAGGACATCATCTACCCTGGGATGAAGAAAGCACTCATCTGTGCCCTCCTGGTGACTCAGGATATCATAGAGTACAGGAAGGTGAGTCACAGAGTACAGGGGATGAGTCTTGGAATACAGGGGGTGAGTCCAAGAGCACAGGGCATGAGTCCTGGAATACAGGGGGTATCCCATGTTTGTGTAGTAAGAATAGGTCACAGTATCCCCTGTTTATAGTAAGAATAGGTCACAGTATCCCATGTTTATAGTAAGAATAGGTCACAGTATCCCATTTTTATAGTAAGAATAGGTCACAGCATCCCATGTTTGTAGTAAGAATAGGTCACAGTATCCCATGTTTATAGTAAGAATAGGTCACAGTATCCCCTGTTTATAGTAAGAATAGGTCACAGTATCCCCTGTTTATAGTAAGAATAGGTCACAGTATCCCCTGTTTATAGTAAGAATAGGTCACATTATCCCCTGTTTGTAGTAAGAATAGGTCACAGTATCCCATGTTTATAGTAAGAATAGGTCACAGTATCCCCTGTTTATAGTAAGAATAGGTCACAGTATCCCCTGTTTATAGTAAGAATAGGTCACAGTATCCCCTGTTTATAGTAAGAATAGGTCACAGCATCCCATGTTTGTAGTAAGAATAGGTCACAGCATCCCATGATTATAGTAAGAATAGGTCACAGCATCCCATGTTTATAGTAAGAATAGGTCACAGCATCCCATGTTTATAGTGAGAATAGCTCACAGTATCCCCTGTTTATAGTAAGAATAGGTCACATTATCCCCTGTTTGTAGTAAGAATAGGTCACAGTATCCCATGTTTATAGTAAGAATAGGTCACAGTATCCCCTGTTTATAGTAAGAATAGGTCACAGTATCCCCTGTTTATAGTAAGAATAGGTCACAGTATCCCCTGTTTATAGTAAGAATAGGTCACAGCATCCCATGTTTGTAGTAAGAATAGGTCACAGTATCCCATGTTTATAGTAAGAATAGGTCACAGTATCCCATGTTTGTAGTAAGAATAGGTCACAGTATCCCCTGTTTATAGTAAGAATAGGTCACAGTATCCCCTGTTTATAGTAAGAATAGGGCACAGCATCCCATGTTTGTAGTAAGAATAGGTCACAGCATCCCATGATTATAGTAAGAATAGGTCACAGCATCCCATGTTTATAGTAAGAATAGGTCACAGCATCCCATGTTTATAGTAAGAATAGGTCACAGTATCCCCTGTTTATAGTAAGAATAGGTCACAGTATCCCCTGTTTATAGTAAGAATAGGTCACATTATCCCCTGTTTGTAGTAAGAATAGGTCACAGTATCCCATGTTTATAGTAAGAATAGGTCACAGTATCCCCTGTTTATAGTAAGAATAGGTCACAGTATCCCCTGTTTATAGTAAGAATAGGTCACAGCATCCCATGTTTATAGTAAGAACTATACTCTATGCCCTGGCTGAATGGTTGTCATCATATTCCAGTGTTGTGGAGCATGGCTCATACTGTCAACAACTGACCTGCATGGACTCAGACCAAGACTGTTTAGAGTAAAATAACTCTCTGATGATGACACCACATTGTTTCAGGCGTCTTTTGAGTTGTACGGTGCTGACTTCATGCTGACGGAGGACTGCCAGCCCCTGCTGATCGAGATCAACTCCTCACCAAGCATGGAGGCCAGCACGCCCATCACAGCCCGACTCTGTACCAACGTCCTCGAGGACACCATCAAAGGTACAGCTGCATGACCATCATCAGCTGATGTCGTGCAAAAGAGTCGTTTTGCATGCATGTTTTTGGTGTTTGTGAATTGTAATGTCCCTCTTTTGACAGCGGTTTGCCAAATAGTTTTGTAAAATATACGAGAATGATTGTCTTGCTTGTCAAAATTATCACTGGCATTTGACTGATGTTACCATGATATACAAACTACAAAGAGGAGAATGAAATTGGCCAAATATTTCATGGGGTTGGTTGTTGGTTGGTTTGTTGTTTAAAGCCGCAATCAGCAGTATTCCAGCTATATGACGGCGGTCTGTAAATAACTGAATCTGGACAAGACAATCCTGTGAACGATATCATGATCCACGCAATTGGGATCGTTGACATGCATCAACCAAGTCAGCGAGTCTGACCACCCGATCCCATTAGTCGCCTTTTACGACAAGCATAGCCGCCTTTTACGGCAAGCATGGATTGCTGAAGACCTATTCCACCCCGGCTCTTCACGGGTCATTTTCATGGGGGTCATACGTGATCTGTTCTGTTGAAATTGTAGGTAGAACAATAAAGGCTTGGATATTTTATCTAGTTAGTGTTGAAGTTTAGTAAGACTGTTTGAGGTACAGATGCTTTTCCTACTGTGTCTCTAAGGCTTTGGTCCTGCCCACACTGAAGCACATGTGGTGTCTCCTTAGACAATTGACTTGTTCGAAATATGCCTCTGTTCACCCAGCAGTGAATGAGATTGTAATGTGACTGTTAGCCTTCTATCACTTCACAGGCACCTTGGGTTATGTACTCCCGAGGGAACTGAGAATAAGAAAAAAGTGCATGTATGGTGTCTGGTTGATAAATAACACATCTTGAAGAATTTAGTTAGTATTAATAATATGGCTCAATCCATCTTTCTTTCAGTTGCAGTAGACAGGAAATATGACCGAAATTGCGATATTGGTCGCTTTGAGCTTGCTTACAAGCAACCATTGGTGACAGTGCCGCCATACATTGGCATCAATCTCAGTGTGGATGGCCAGGCCATTCGCAAACCAGGAGTACGTAGGCCTGATGTTGCCATTCCAGTGGAACCCTACTTCACTCCACGGAATAGTGTCCGACAAAGTTTGTCCAATGAGAAAGTGGCCGAAACTAAGAAGTCAGGGGGAAGTAACTCTGTGCCAGCAGCAGGGAAGTCAAGTGGCGAGGGTGGGAAATCCACAGGATCTTCCAAAGCCAGCAGTTCCGAGTCTGGCAATACTAAGGGACATTCTACCAAGTCAGAGCCAGTATCTCAGGACTCGGGTCACAAAGCTTCAGTTATAATGGTATCGAAATCGGAGAGTAAAAGATCGGAATATGTTGATAGTCACCACTCTATAAAGAATCATCCCCAGCCTCCATCGCATCCCAAAGTGTGCACTCAGACGCCTTATCTGGCAGGACTGACAACTCGGCGGATTGTATCACGGACGTCTGTGTCGAACAACTACACGATCCCACCCACGATAATGGACAGGCAAAACAAGGCCACTGTGTCCGTTAACAATGTGGAGTCCACAGACTTAAAGACAATGAAATCCACTGGAGTTGTCAAAGGTAATGAGTTAAAGGCCAAGTCCTTCCAACCGTGTCATAAGATAAAGAAAAGGGTTAACAAAGTCAATAGGCCGAGGTTCGAACGCATCGTTCAGCCTCAAGTTACCATCACTTTCCCTCAAGTGCCATATGCCAGTCTCAACGTGGCGTACCGTTCGCCCACCGGGGACGACCTGGTGGCGCCCCCTCGTCTGCGATACAGCTACCTGTCCAGCTCATCGGAGCATATTTACCGACCAGGGTTGCCACTAGGGGGCATTGAGAGCTCGTAGCGGAGTATGTTCTGGGTCAACCCCTTCACATAGATCTGCATAGACCAGTGATGCTTCAGGCTAGTTAGACATGCTCGCCAGTTCATTTCAGGGTATCATAGATTTTGTCACTAGAGGGTCAGTTGAGTGATATATAGAAATGGTTGATTTTTAAACTTTCAGATTGTCATGTTTTGATATTATTCAGCTGAATTCTACCTCGATGTGACAATTGTCAATATGGTGAAATGAACTGACAGAAAGTATAGAAGCATTTTCACGACATAGGTTCTTCAGTTCTCAAATATGGCTTATCGGCATCTAGGATCAAGTTCGTGTGGTTTGGAGAAGAAACATTTAAACACATGAGTAAATTACTTTTTATTTCCGACCAGGCTTTTTTACTATCTCTGTCATTTTATCCATGTCGCTAAATATGAGCTGGGAGATTTGGTTGAGAACTGAAGTTTCCTTGTAGTACATGAGTGGTGATGAATATACTACAGTTAATCTCATTAAAATCAGATCTTAGTTCTCGCTATTGCTAAACAAAGTGAGATCTTAGTTCTCGCTATCGCTAAACAAAGATCTGAGGACATCCCATTAAAGTTCACGTCAGAACGACCTTTCATCCAACCAATCAGAGCGTCGCTTACCAGATCATGAAAGTGACAGTCGGAATGTGTTTTCTAATCATGCAACCTCGAAATATTTAACAGAGATTATTCCGAACGACAGTTACAGGTTTTATGATCATTTCCATACAATCTAGGCCATCTATAAGCCATTCCAGAATGTTCTTTTTATCAGTTTTAAATTTTTTAATCGAGAATACGTCAAAATATGTTCCGAAGCGTAGTCGCCAGTTTGAAACTAGTGTCGTAAAGCTCGAGAAAACCACCCTATGATTGGCTAATGTTGATTTCTTGTCAGTCATTTCATTGGTTCGTAATAGGATGTCCTCAGATTTTTGTTTAGCGGTAGCGAAATCTAAGATCTGATTTTAATGAGATTGATACTACAGTAGACAGAGAAATATGCCAGTATACACCTCTTTAACTACTATATTCCTTCTAACATTGTGTAGTGGCTGATTGCTTATGTAGTGCCAATTGCCACAGCCATGCTATGTGTGACTGTATAGATGAAGCATGGCTGTAGTTGTTGGCTATGTTGAAGCTGTTGCTGTAGATGCAGCATTGGCTTCAGAAGTTGAGACTGACTTGTAATGACGCTGAAAAATTGCAGGCTTTAAATATAATTTTGGGGGTTCTGGGTTTAGGACTGTGGCCGTCACATTTGGCAGTTGTGTCAGTCACAAGTTGAACCAGTAGTTGCTGCCTGTTGATATTGTAGACAGCAGAACTTACTTGAATTTGTAGTATTACAGTTATACTGGTAAGTTGAAGTGATTGTGACACCAGATTTATCAGTATGGGTAGATGAGGCCTCGTCAGGTCCTTATACAGCTTGACTCATGATGTTTATTATGTTTAGATAAGACTCCCCAAGACCAGAACTAGAAAATCTCTATCCACTGAGGAGAATGTTTATTATTGAAGAACCTTTGAGATCAAACTGACAGACCTACAAACTGTAAAAGGATTTAATTTGGTCTGTTGTAAATGAGGAAGGCTTGTTAGGTAGCCCTGTGGTTAAAGCATTCGTGCATCATGATTTCACACATAGCTGCAATGTATGAAGCCAGGTTCTGGTGTCCCCTGACCTGATATTGCTGGAATAACTTGGCTTAAAACCATACTCACACACAGACAAATGAGCATGATTAATTACTCTGTGAGACATTCGGGGAGTTAGTCCACACAGATGCAAGTCTGTCTCCATGACCTTGTAGTCATCCATTGTGTACATCCTTGCATGTTCTGTAAGGATTTGAAAGGGTAAATATCTTCAACAGGCATTATGTTACCGGTATGTGTTTCCAACGGCAGTTTGCAGTATTATGTTATGCACAGTATTTTTATATAAATATTTTACCTTTTATCTGAAATTGGGTATTACCATGCTTACCAAAGAAGTATTTTAATCCTTTTTTTTATTCTAAATTCAGCAGTTTATTCTAGTTATAACAATCATCATATTTATTTTATTTATTTTATCAGCTTATTGTCATTTATTATTAGAGCTGTAGATGTATGCAGTACATGATTGGAGAACTTGACAACAGGTTTCTACAGTGTTACCTGAATGATTGCTTGTCAACAGACCACAATGGTGTCTATTGTATGTGCTCTTGACCACTGGTTTGTGTGGCCAAGACTTGATGACATACAAGGTGACTTCATATGGCTGTGATATTTCTGACTACGACATACACAGCTGACTTCAGATGGCATCTACATTTGTCACCATGAGTTGGTAGATGCATGTTGGTCTTGATCAACCAGTAAACACTATTATGCTGTAACCTGAGATTATTCTGTAGTTTCAGTCAGTAAGACACTTGCTGATGTAGGTTCAAACTTACATACCATACCATGGGCGGATACAGCTTTTTTTAAAAGGGGGGTGCACAATTAAGATCTATTTATTGTCTTTGGTGGTAATTTATACAGAAATAAAGATTTTTTTCGAAATAAAAAGGGGGGTGAGCACCCCCGCACCCCCCCCTCTGTATCCCCCCATGCATACTCTGCATCATTGTTAAACCAGTGGCCCAGTCATCCAAGGCACTGCAATTTGCTGTGTAGAGTTGCATCCCTTGCTCGCGCAAGACACCTATGATTTTGGGTTCGAATTCCAGTTTGCCCTGATTATGTTTCTTGGCTTGTCAGCACCATACCCATGCTCATGGGTTTCACCAAGCTGGTAAATGTCTAAGACCGGCATCACTCCGGGCTTTCCTCCAACATTAAGCTGACAGGCCATAATATATGTAGAAAAATGTTCAAAGTGGCATTAAACCCAACTCACTCAATCACTGTTAGGCCAGTCTAAGACAATCATGGTAAAAGTGTTTTTTTCTAAACTTCATTAACCAGTTAGGACAGTTTTTAAGCAAACAATAGATACCTGTGTACAAAAGCCTTTGCATTAATTAACATTAAGTTAGATGTCTAGTCTAAATTTGATAGTCGACTTTTGATAACACTGAATGTCATTACCTCCTATTAACATAGAGGACCTGCTTAGAACTCACCAGTGTTATACCAACAGATTTGAGAGGAAGTAACCATCAGATCAGTTAGAGTTAGAATGTCAAGTGTATCAAACTTTAGAAATATCAAGTAAATAAAGTTTGAAGCATTTTGACATGTTAGATATTTCTTAGTGGATTGCTTATAGAGACGTACACGGAACTGCGATAACCTTGGTTCAATGACCACCTTAAAGACTCTTTCACCTGCAAAGGATGAATTTAATTATATCTTTTCTTAAACAAATAATGATTGACAGTTGTTCAAGCCTTTGTTAATGTCCTTTTTTGATCAATAATGTCATTCTCACTGTATGTGTATTGAGATTTCTTTTACAATTTCCATTTGGAAAAGGTGATGGGTAACTGGTACAGAACCACATAATGGTTTAGTGGAACTTTTTTTATAAAAATATTTACTGAGAATATACAAGTCAAAATTAAAGCATTTAATCAGCATCCGTGAAAGTGTCTACCTAGTCTCTCCTCCTCTCCCCTCTCCCCTCTCCCCTCTCCCCTTCTGCTTGTAATGACACGTTCCACTTGGGTTACCCAGCATGACTTTGCCACGCTGTCAATGCCAACCAGTTCTCAGGGGAAACTCCCTTCATTTTCAACACAGTACACAAAGTTTATTTTGGCGAGAGAAGGAATGATTCTTAACATTCCCAGACAAACTTTCATACAAAAAAAGACATTGTCATTCCTTTTAACTGCCTATACTAGTGCAGTATCGTCCTTCTTTAATCCATCCATTGGTATCCCATTTCATTGTGATAAATATCCTGGGCACTGTTCCACAAAGCGATCTTAGCGCTAGGACTAACGTAAGTCAGTATTGGAGTTACGATCACTTAGCGCTAAAATAGCTTTGTGGAACGGGCCCCTGGACACAACCACCATTGCTTCAATGTCAAATGATCCCAATGACACAATGCTAAATATAGCCCTCTAGTGTCTAGTACTGTCTTGAGCCAGGGAAACTCTGGTGATGGTGGTGATGTCACAGTGAAGCTTTGCTGGCATATGAATCCAGGGTATTTATCATAATAGGATGGAGATAGGATACACTGGATATCAAGAATGGTGCAGTGTGTAATATTTTACTGTGGCCCACTGGGAAATATATGGTTTACAGACTGGATGTTGAAGTATGAAGCGTCAGTTTCTCACTGAGAGCTCCGTGGCAGCTACATGTATATGGACAACTACAGATGCACAGTTAGGGTCATTGTGTCCTACCTGCAGGCCCTAACTTGGGATATTAACAGTATCCTCATAAGTGTCACATTGAGCAGGTTTTCTGTCATTCTGGCAAAAATATGGATCTGCATTTTACTGAAATAACTGTTACGTTTTTTCATATATTTTAGACCATATATTAGACATTGGCTTGTTTAGTTTTCTTAAAGGTGTGTCCACCCCGTGTTAGCGTAAGAAGTTGCCGTGCTATACATGCTTTGATTGCCTGTCATAAGTTCTAGTGATGTATTATGGTATAGACAAACTGCTTGAGCATACACAGCAGACATTTTGTTTTAAGGCTGTTGTCGGTGATTCCGTAAATTCAGATCAACAACCCACTCAAAACA